AATGATTGATGTATGTTTGATAGTATGGGAGAGGTTTTCTTTAAGCACTTGTGCGTTTCCGTTGTATTACTACCGTACTAAAGAACTTAAAACACCACGAAAAAGCCTTTCCTCTCCTACTACGAAATGTCCCAGCGAAAAAATAAACACATTTACAGTAGACCCTGCGCCATCTTTCAGCACCAGTCTGACACTGTTTGTTTACGGTTCACCCGCCCCGATGCCGCAGGACTAATAGCTTAAATCGGGTGATGACAGGGTATATCAAACTGCTATTCAGTATATACAATTCAATTCATTTCTTATTTCAGACCCATAAATAAAGTATAATACATGTATGTACAGAAAGATTAAAATACAATTTTAGCCAAGGGAAATTGAATGTGCGGACTGCTTAAGTTAAATACCAGATTGACGTAGTGTTTCCAGAAGTTGTTGATGGAGAATATGTCAAAGTGAACTACCAGTCTTATGAGACTATTGTTTGAGTTGAGCAGGCGTGTGACAATTGAATGTGTTAACTTTCTCCTGTGGGTTTCAAAAGTGACAACTGCAGCTGATACAAACATGTGGCTAGCACTATCATATTTAATGTAGGCCAACAAAATTATAAAAGCGTTGTTGCATGCGACACGTAGTTTACAAATTGTACCCAGCGTGTATAGAGACCACAACTGAGCACAGTACATAGGAGAGCAAAAAGCGTGATACTGTATAGCTGTATACTCCTGTGTTGTTGTTTTTATTTTAATTTCAACATGTAATCACAAGACGTGGTGACGGCACACGCAAGCTTTTTCAACGTATATTAGTGCCGCCACCAACACAGGGGACAATACAATACTCATTTTCACCTGAGTGAATTTGAGAAAGTCGTGTTTAGTGCCGTTCCCAAGGGCACAAGATCGGTGGCATGTCAGGACTCGAACCCGTGACCTCTTGGTTCCGAGTCGAGGACTCTGCCGCTACGCCACACGACACCACTGTATTGTTACCATGTGGCTAAATAAATACATGCTAAATTTAGGTACCTAATGTACAGTATCAGAATCAAAAGTTACACTATCAATGGGAAGAATTTATTCCATTTACTTTACCATAAACATTATAATATCCCTTACCTACAGTAAATAAACGTGTGCCCCAAACATAATATTGCATTGTTCGGCCTTTTGTCCTTGTACAAATTGGTGCTATTGGCTCGGACACAGTTTGATGTGCATGTCTGTGATAGAATAACACTTCAAATTTGAACGTCTTTGTAATAATGATAATAATAATAATGATATCCAAACTAAATGGCTTCGCGTGTAGAGATTTTCAGAATTGTTTGAAGAAAGACGTTCTTTCAAAAATAATCATATGGCATTTTCTATGTCCGAGTAATATGTAAATAGTTTTAGAAATTTTTTACTTCAAAAAGTTTTTTTAGATTTTCTAAATGTCGTGTCCACTTTAAACTGACCGGCGGTACAAGATGTCCCACGACATACCCATATGTCACTAAACGAATAGAGTCCATCGATTCTGACAGGAAGCTCCATTGAAACAATGTGAGTCGGCATTCTCACCAATCAATATCTATCTAGTCCTGTTAAGTCTGTATATCACAGCTGGTGGCGTGTTTTTCTTTGAAGTATGGTTCCTTTATTAGCGTGTTACACCTCTAAATGCATCTTATTGACGAGTAATATCACGTCTATTACCAATTATTGGAGATTGAGTAGATTTTGCGCTGAAATAGCAATTACTTTGAAATTCTTAAAATCGCCTTCGTGGAAGGAGATTTCGTTTTCGGTTTGTCTGTTTGTTTGTTCGTTTGGTTGTTTCTTTGTTTGTGTTGAATTGCTTCGATATACTAGGGTACACGTACGCAGAAATGGGTAGAGTGGGATCATTTTTCAGTTGCCCGATACCTTCCACACTGCAATCTTTCTTCAGTAAGACATCTGGAACCACATGGTTCCCGTTTGGAACCTTTATTCAACCTGTCACTCCGTCTGGTTTCGATGTGACTTCTTTAGTGGCTAAGGCTTAATGGCAAAAATACACGAAGTCTGATGTCTTTCCAGCACCGTACATTTGGTACTCTCCAAGCAAAGGGTGGCTCTGGCTTGTTGCTAACGTGTTTTTATGTTTCTGATACTGTCTTGAAGCTAGAAAGGAAATCTGCGATTATAAATCTGGCACACGGATTTCATTTCAGTTCTCAGAGTTCACGGCATGCCACTTAGTCCTACCATGGAGGTTAAAAATCCTTCCTTAAACCATGAAATGCTGAAACTTTAGAATGTGTCAAAGAAACAAGCCTGTTACGGTCAAAACAACCCGGTTCTTGATCTTTGCCGCGCTGCTTGGGAACGACTTATAAGGGCGGTGAAATTTCCACGAGCCCGCAACAAGGTTAAATAAGATCAAGACAGACCGTGGGGTTGTTAGTCCAGTGTGTCTAGGGCAAGGTCTTGGAATTAGTCCATCCATGCTATTGCTACATAATGATCTTTATTTGTGGCAACAAAAAGCAGACCTTGCAGGGATGAGACTCCCTGAATTGCAAAAAATCTGCGTACAAAAATTGTAAATCACAACGGACAAGACAGGCTATAGGTAACAGACCCTAACCTCTACCAGGCGGTTTCGGAAGGCGGCTGGAAAGAGCAGATTTTACCAAGTAGAGAGTTACGAGTAACATGACAGGGGAGTTGGGCGCTAGAAAAGTACAGTTTACCGCCCCACTACATTTTATTGTTTGTTTGTTTGTTTGTTTGTTTGTTGTTTTAGTGTCCCTAACCGAAGTCAGGTACCTATTTTACACCTGTGTGGAGTGAGGAAACGTCGTGTGAAATGTGTTTCCCAAAAACGTCTATTTAGGAATGCCAGGAATCGAACTCGCGACCTCTCGATCTCTCGTGTCCGCTACCCTCAGGCCACCGCCATTCGACCCTACCAGCAGACCAGGTCATGGCAAAATGAGATCAAAACAGATTAAGGGCAACAAGCAGACACCCTTTCACTATGTCACCTTTTACTTGAGTGACCAAAATTGGATTTGTATAGTTTGAGGCACCAGCGACACACACAAAACGCACGAAACACACTTCTAGGTCAACGGAATCCGTTTGAACTACCAGTGCGACTTATGGCGCCCGCCTCAGCGGTAATGCTACTAATGGGGGATAATGAGACCAGGAATGTTGTGATTGATTCAAACTGAACAGCTCAGCTGTCCCTGGTTTCATCTTTGTGAAAAAAGTGCTTTCAACAAGTGTTCAAAGTAAAAAAAAAGATATTTTTCAAAATTTGACAGATGTAAAAATGCCGAAACATGGAAAGTCTAACAATCACCATCAAAATTATATTTACAAATTTAGACAGACGGGCTCGACACATGGTGCCATATAAATCCCCTACCCGAATCCAGGACGACAAATACAATGCCATGCTCATTACAGCACCGGACGTTACGTTAACTTGTGAAGCGTTCGTCATGAAATTTAATTTTTTTCCAAAAATATTTTCTTGTTTTTAAAAGTTCAGAATGCAGTTGACGTGTTCTTTGCTATTTACTGAGTCCACGTGCGTGACATAACGTCCAAGGTACAGCGCACATGGAACAAACAGTTCTCAGAAGCAGTGACTACGTGAACTTACATTGCCCCCACACTGTTGGTCAACGTGCATTTTACCGTAAACGGTATGGCACGAACACGACATACTAGGTAAACAGCAGGGAACACGTAGTACCACACGGAACATGGCTGCCAATCGTAATCAGCTGTTTAACTAATGACAGCATGACAATTCGACCAATGTGACTACATTTTCTACGTTTTGACCCAAGTTGACTGGGCTATGGGATCGGTCCAAAACACAGTGATAACATGTCGTGCCGGACCTTTTGCTTATAGGTAATAAGGAACGGTATGGGTATTATCAATGGGGTCGGCCCTATGTTACGACAGCCCTATGTTACGACAGCCCTATGTTACGACAGCCCTATGTTACGACAGCCCTATGTTACGACAGCTCTATGTTTTGACGCCCCCTTTTTTCAACGCGATTATGGCTATGTTCAGACACCAAATGATAAATTGTAAATGTATGGAGTGTAATGATCTCGAAGAAAATTTTCACGTAATAAATTGTCACTGACAGTGTTTCCGCCAGACTGCAGCAGAGATACTGAGAGGCCGTCCAGTTCAGGGAAGTGCCGGGTCGCGAATTAATTAACTAAGGGAACACGTCGCGAAAATTAATTGAGGGGGCGGGGCATTTGTTTACACTTGTTAACAAGTTGAAACTGTCCACAAGCATTCCACATTTTTTACAAGTGTTGACATTAAAAAAAAACACTGCTACAAATGGCAAACGTATCGCCAGTAATACTTAATTAGGACATTCTGCTGCAAAACTCCGAACATCGGCATCATTTAATTGTAACCTCCAGTAGCGCCTGCGATAGCCGGATTTTAATAGTGAAGAGCCTTGCTTCGTCCGTACTTCTTCCGTACTAGCAACATTTCCGGTGTAAAGAAGCGTCATCTTATCTCTCATACACGAGACAAATTTTGAAAATAACTTGGCTGTATCGTAGCTTTCATTGCTGTTTTATTCAACAAAAGTGCTCCTTGGTTGTAAAATGATCACTCATCTGGTGTCTCCAGTACAGTTTCAAATGGTAGCGTGATCGTAGCGTGCGAAAAATCGGCGTTAAAAGTCAGAAAATCGCTGGAAAATAACTTGCAGCACACATTCGCTACCTCGCCGTAGAAGAAAATACGCGCATTTTCTCATTAATATAATGCTAATATGTAAGTAGCAGCGTGAACTCTACGCTCTGATTTGTTGACCTCATATGACCTGCGCTCTGATTGGATAGAGCCATCTTTGCAGAGCTGCAGTTTGTTTGTTGGCGAAGAGAGTTACACTACGCTACTTTCTACGGTGTTTCTACCACTACTTAGTAACATTCCATTAAAGAAATTCATTATTAAGAATTTTTGGGAAAATGTATGTATCCATATTGAGTGGTGCCTTTTCAAGCAAGCCGGAAGTGTTAGCGAACCGCGGCGTGGATAGCGAACTGCGGCGTGGATTTTCATGCAACCCGCCCGCTACAAGACCATCAAAAACGTAACTCCCAAAAGAGAATTTTCAAATCTGAAATGATTTTGTTCGATGAGAAATATTTGTGGATACATTTTACCGGATGGAAACTTGAAAAACGGGCTTTAATGAGATTAACGTATGCGAAAGGCGCCGACATCAATTGTTCGTCAGCATTTAACAATAACAATAGCTGTTGTAACATAGGGCTGTCGTAACATAGGGCTGTCGTAACATAGGGGTGTCGTAACATAGGGCTGTCGTAACATAGGGCTGTCGTAACATAGGGCTGTCGTAACATAGGGCTGTCGTAACATAGGGTATGAACCATTATCAATGGCACATATATGGTACGGGACTGCCATTACGCCGGCTTCACTACACATACATAGTCACACTGAACGATGCTCGGTCATCAACCGATTTTAAAAATCGCCCAATGACAGAGAGAAGACCAGCCGTGTTGCTACCGTATATAGACTTAGGACCTTGCAGATGCGTCAATTTAACTATTTCCTAGATGTGGTGTATAAGCCTACCAGAAAAGTTAGACTTGTCTATGCGAAGTTTTCCTCGCTTGTGGGCCACCGCGTATAACAGTTGTTATGTAACGTTATTACAGCCCTAATTTCCCTGTAGGGAACAGATGGATAAAGCACGGTTCTGGATACATCAGGCCCATTGCACCTTATGGAATACACCTTGCTCCTTTTAGTGACCTTTATCGTAAGAAGTAATGGATTCGAGCAGGGAATCGATATATGGAAGTACCGACTCTCAGCTGTCGTTCCTGACATCTGACATTAGGTCAATATGGCGAGGGCCTGTACTACTGTATCCAGAACTATTGCTTATCTAGTGCCTATTCAGAGCCGTGCCTATCTAGGTCTGTGCCTGGATTGATTAAGGTTATCCAAGATCATAGATTCGCCCCTAAGCATGGTTCTGGACATTCCGGGATATCCAGAACGGCGCCTATTTAGTTCTATGCCTGAGTGGGTTAGGGTTAGGATCAGGCACGGTTCTGGATACTTTCTATTGTATCCAGAACCGTGTACATCTAGTTCTATGCCTGGCCTGGATGTGTTAGGGTTAGGGTCAGGCACGGTTAATGGATACGCGACACGGTTCTGAATAGTCTCCGCGTATCCAAGAACGTAAATTTGCCCAAGGCACGGTTCTGGACACACGCGGGCTATCCAGAACGGTGCCTATCTAGTTCTGTGCCTAAATGGGTTAGAAAAAAAGGTCCCATTTAACTCTGTGCAGGGCATAGGGGTGATGCCCATCTCTTTTTCTGTAGCCCTTGGGCCACACCTTGGGCAAGCACCACAGCAGGGGGCTAGCTCACTGGTAGTGTTGTGTGTTTGACCTTCCCATACTCTTTCTCATATATGCTGAGTGCTAAGCAGAAAAAGCAGTATGTACTCGCAGTATGAAAGTAAAAAACAAAATAAAACATCAAGAACAGTTGCCTGAAGATGCTTCCGGCAAAATCTCTCCACGGAAATCACCTGTTTATAAGTCTGTGGGAACAACAAATCCTGAGATTACGCGATATGAGGAAAGTCATAACAATGCTCGCCTCTCCCAGGCACCTCGGAGACCAGAACACGCCAGTTGAGCTCTCACGGATTTCCGTTAGAGGAGCAATATCCGCAGTCTCATATCTTGGGATTTTCTTCAAGGTGATACGGTCCTCCTAAGATTTGTGACTTGGCCTGGAAAAAACTCTAGATGTCTTCTGGGGTAGAAAAAAGAATAAAATTACTTTCCTTTTTGTTTCAATACAAGAAACAAGAAAATACGCTTGCTTCATAACCTTTCAGATACAATCATATAAAATGAACACTGGTAGGGTTGATGATCCACTCTCACCAGGATGGACCCCAAACTCTTTTCAATTAGTATGATGAGTTTTTGACGTGTGGTCTCCTCAAACAAGAGACATCATCTTTACGTGCCATCCGACGGGAACACTGCAGTTGAGCTCTTACGGATTTCCGTTAGAGGAGCAATATCCGCAATCTCATATCTTGGGATTTTCTTCAATGTGATACGGTCCTCCTAAGATTTGTGACTTGGCCTGGAAAGAACTCTAGATGTCTTTTGGGGTAGAAAGAGATTTTTCTTTCTTTGGTCGTCAGAAATACGCTTGCTTCATTATGCATGTTGCATACAAATGAAACTTACAAAAGAAACTATAAAAGTGAGTTTTTTTTAATTCTGTGTATTTGGTAAAACAAATTCAAATCTTCAACTACTAACTACAATTATTCACTTACCATTTTAATTCTCAGCCATTGGTTTCAGTCCTTTTCCCCGCAGGTCTGGCTGTCAGTCGTCAACCTTTCCATCTTCGAGCTCTTCGTGCTGAAACTTACTAAAGCAGATTTTTAGCTAATCAGTAATTTTTTTTTTCAATACTTTCTCTTTGTTTCCAACAGGTGTGGCTGTCAGTAGACTACGTAGCGAGCACTGCCTCCATCTTCAACCTCTTCGTCCTCAACCTTGACCGCTACTGGAGCGTCACCACTCCACTGAAATACATGCGGAAGCGCACCAAGAGACGAGCCATGGCCTTCATCGCTCTGGTGTGGGGAGTCTCCTCTCTCTGGATCATCCCCATCGTCGGGTGGCACGTCTTCGAGTTCGGGGGAGTCCGGAAAGTTCCGGGTGACGTCTGCGACACCGAGTTCAGCTCCAACTGCACGTTCAAGGTGCTGACGTCACTCTTCAACTTCTACTTCCCCATGATCCTCATGAGCGTCATCTACGCACAGATCTACAACAAGGTGCGTTTGTTTGTTTGTTTGTTTGTTTGTTTGTTTTATCTTGAAAGTTCATCTGTGTCGGTAGAAGTAACTATGAAGCAAGTTTGAACTGTAATTTTTAACAGAAAAAACTGGACGTACCATAATTTTTGACTGTGCAATTTTAGACTTTGTCAATGAATCAGGGCATTTCAACCATCTCTCAAGGGCGGTCTAGAGAGACGGGGACGGGGAGACGGGGGGCGCCACAGACTTTCTGTAGCCTATAATTCACTGCTCACCGAGTCATGTTTCCATTTCCATTTGCATGGCAACACAGAAGCGGTGGAGCACTCATCCCTGTCATTCTGCCTGCCAATCGTTCTATACACGTGCTGTCAACCTACTTTGTTCGGACACACAGTCACACAAATTCACATCTCAGCCACCCAAATAAGTACTTCCGTACCTAGAGTAATAATTACGACTGTGCTATATCATGTTTTGCAGGTCCGAAAACGACACAAGAACCTGAGCGTCCACATCTCGAGAGGCTCCGTTCCGACCGAGAACGACATTAAGATGCACGAAGGACTCAGAAGATCCTCCACGTCGGAACTACAGCGTCTCAGAGCCAGACGCGGGTCCTTAAGCGTCGCTGGAGACAAAATCCGAGGGACATCTCCTGAGAAAAAGTCGTCGCCAGCGAAAAGTTGCAACGGTCCACGCGGTAGCCAGCAGCCTGTGTCCGTCCTGGCGAAAATGACCTCCCAAAACAACACAGCAGTTCACTCCGTGATAGACACAGTTCCCGATGACGTGAAGTATCTGTCTGTGGACAACAAGGAGTCGTGCAGCCGCCGCTCTTCGGGCGACATGCCGCCCATCCCGGAAGACGAGTCCGACCTGAAGAGCGAGAGAAAAAGTAGTAAAATGAGCTGGCCTGGAGGTTGGTTTGTTTGTTTGTTTGTTTGTTTAGGAAGCCCCCGTTAGTGATAATACATCACTATTCTTCCTGGAGTCCTTTACATAAAATGCAGCATTATATCATTAACTATTATTTACATACACTTTTAATACATTCAAGAAAACTTGTCTCATCGACATTTGACATACAGAAGAACTTTATTGCGCAACAGATGTAGCGGGTACAACGTATGGAAAAATATACTATTATTATTACATAGTTTGTGGTATTAACATACACATATGGTGGTGGTGAGAATATCTAACAGTTCTACTAACTGTAATAGGAATCTGGTCTGCTTCATAAACAATGTATAATATAACAAAAGAGAGACACTAATTATACTAATTTTACTCTATTGATACAATGTAGTAATAAATTGTGATAATGATAATACAGTAAATGTCATTGTGTTACAGGTAGACTCAGTCCAAGAAGATCCATAGGGGATCCGCAGGGCTCCCCCAGCAAGCAGGCGTCTGCAAAGAAGAGACTCAGCCTTACGCGAGGGAGCCTTCTCCGCAGGATGAACCTGAAGAACCGTTCTCGCATGCACTCGGAGAGAAAGGCGGCCAAACAGTTGGGCATCCTGATGGGCTGTTTCGTCGCCTGCTGGCTCCCGTACTCTATCCTCTTCGTGGCGTTCTGTAACAGCACAGACATAGGCGAGAACATTCTGATCGGCGCCACGTGGCTTGGGTACATAAACTCGACGATGAACCCGTTTCTCTACCCGCTATGTAACGATAACTTCAAACGTGCGTTTAGAAAGATGTTGGGGTGTGGGGAGGGTTCGCAGCTGCAGACCACTACGACATCGCGCTTGTAGTGAACGTACATCGTCTGATGCTTTGAAATTAGGCGGGACTTTGGGAAGAAATGATGTCTACAACGGCATTCTTCGCCTGGTTTGCGTCGGGAATGGAGTACGTATCCTTGTTTGAGAGACAAGTTGAATTGAGGACATAAACTTGTTGGAGAGAAAGGTTTGCTCTGAGTTCGAAGCACTGCTATTGGAGCACAAAGCCATGCTTTCGGAGTACGTCTAATAGTTTTGGTGTGGAATAGGGGCCGCCATTTTTCAAGATGGCGGCGTGATTGCCAAACTTCAGTATTTGTTTAAAACGCTGGTGTATTCAGAATATTTAGAATAAAAAGGATTATCTGTGACATAGTTAAAAAGTAGATTTTTTGTCTCAACTCAGAACTCACTGTTTTCGTCTGGTCGTTTGGTCTGAATATATCTGTAGTCAGTGGCTGAAACCAAGAGTTCTAGTGTTGTTCTTGTCACAGGAATAAAATGGACAGAAAACAAAATATATAGAAGCACTCTTTAGATTACCTGTAAACGTTTCTAAACACGCCAAGCTTGCCTGTTGTGTTGAGAAAAAACAAAATGTCCAACTAAAATCATGTTCAGTATTCTACTTTACCCAAAGATTTTATGAACGTGATGTGCCTTTAGTCATAGTTTAGACGGTGTAAACGGGAAATAGGTCTTTGTAATAGTGAAGTAATGTTCAACACAACTCATAACTATATAAATTCGCCGCCAAAGTCGCTCAACTATGTCTATGCCCCCTTCTTACTGAGGTTGTGTAACCAGCGAGTGACCAAAACTAGCAACAGTAATTTAACAAATTTCATTGATAAAACTGTTAAATGTTGTCTTTCAAGTCATACTTTACATCATGGATCATCAACTCCATTTTTGGCCGCTGTACGGTTTTCGACCAGTGAAAAAGACCTTCTTGTACCGTCAGTGTTCATGTCCTGTTATCATTATATTGTACAAGGAATTTAAAGCTGTCAGAAATAGAAGGCAAACGTGCAATATTATCGTGCTTGAATTAAGTGTAGATTCTTAAAACAGTTGCTATTTTCTGTCATTTTTGCTAGACATAAAGCCAAAGTTATGTTGCGTATTTGAATGTAGTCAAATACTGCATCGTTTCATGCTATCGTGTAGATTTATTACGTGACATGGCTGTTTGTGCAATAGTGACTTGTTACTTTTACGTATCTTTTTTTCTTATGGTGTTATTTATTAAAGCGTTTATAAATACGAACTCGGACATGAAACCAATAAATGTTGGAAACATCGTCGTTAAGAATCTTATACTCTGTAGTTTACAAGTAAAACTGTGTTTTGTTGAAGAGTAAATACGAAGTGATTTAGTCTTTTTAAAATCTGTGGAAGTCAGTATTGACTGTTATCATAATGTGAACATTCTACGAATAAAGAATATTGTTGGGTTTTCTGTATAGCTGTGTTGTGTTGTGATTAAGATTTTTTTGTCCAACGCACATCTGCTTTAAGATAAGAATGGTATGTCGACGTTTTTCCGTAAGAAGACAACAACTAAATTCTACAGGACACAGGCACGACTGTCGTGGGAAAATCCTCAGCAGTTTCCAACTATACAACGATCACGCACAATATGACTTGGCCCTTACCCAACAACATGTTTTATTTTTTCGCTTCTAATTATTATCCATCTCCCATATGAATAAAAGAACACATACAAATAGAACTAGAGAGGCCGACATTTGCTTGGGAGCAAATACAGCATATTTCAGTCCATCTCCCTCCCACGCAAAAGTGGACTATTCCAAACTTACCCCAGTGTAAAACTGGCAAAGGTTCTCAAATAAATGAATTATATAGTAGCTATGTGAGAACAAAATTTGATTATGCAAGAACAAGCACATTGAATCTCGAAAGCTTTACTAATCTTATTACAGGTATGCAAATACTAACAATGATGAGATTTGATACATTTTGAAGGTCTTGGGCACATAAAATTGAATGTGTGGGTCATTACGCACAACTTACGTGCAATGTGACCTCAGGTAACCCGCAATGGAACACGTGTTCCATGGATGGAACAGGCCATTCTATACATAGAACATGGAACGGGTATAGCACTTTTGGCCCTTTTTTTGCTGAAAATAGCCATTAAAGTCCCCCAAATGAGTCATTTGGAAGTGGTGTATGCCAAATATGTGACTGCTATTCTGTAGACACATGTTCAAGGTACCCTTATACCAAATTTCAGATCATTTGGTTGTAAAACCAGGGCTCAGGATCCAAAAATCCATTTTTGGGCAAAAAATGCCCCAAAAAACCTTCATAAAAATTTTTCAAAGGCATGTATAAAAAAAATGGAAAAAACGCCTGGGGGTATTGGCCCACTCTACCTTCATGCCAAATTTCAAGTCATTTGGCTGAATGATGGCGGAGTTGAATCCCTTTGACTGTTTGGCAGGAGAAGGAGGAGAAGGAGAAGGAGAAGAAACATGAGAGAACACAATATATTTCCTCCATACCATGGTATGGACTGAAATATAAATACACATAATAGAAACAGTTAAAAATATGACTATGGTGAGTACAGACTAAGTAACGATCACAATGGTTTTGGTTTTGTGGAAATTTGAAGGGCTTTATTCGTTACAATTCTAACAAGAAATATTTGAGCTGCACTCTATGTTTCTGGATGAGGCCTCAACCTGTTTGAACTAATCGCCCTCACTGAGAAGATGCGATAAACGGTAGACAGGTACATGGCGTTATCTACCCGATCGGGACAGCGTTCACGCTTATCTGTCGTCTGTTAGTTCTTCTTCGCCTCAAAGCAAATAAGCGGCCCGAGTAGTGAACCGTATGTATGTTCGTAAAATTCGTATGTATTTTCGTAAAATTCGTATGAATCCCTTAAAATTCGTATGAATTCCGTAAAATCCGTATGAATTCCGTAAAGTTCGTATGAATTCCGTAAAATTCGTATGAATTCAGTAACTGATTTTTCGCACCCCTGCCTGTGGACATATCAGTCGAGCCACTTGTTTCTGGGTGAGGCCCCGACTGTTTCAACTGTTCCCTTGCACTGCGAAGACACGATAAATAGTTCATTAAACTGACGTTATCTGCCCGATCGGGACAGCGTTCGCGCTTATCTGTCGTCTGCTAGTTCTCCTTCGCCTCAAAGCAAATAAGCGGCCCGAGTAGTGAACCGTATGTATTTTCGTAAAATTCGTATGAATTCCTCAAATTGAATTCCTTAAAATTCGTATGTATTTTCGTAAAATTCGTATGAATTCCTTAAAATTCGTATGAATTCCGTAAAATTCGTATGCTTTCCGTAACGGATTTTTGGCACCCCTGCCTGTGGACACTATGATATCAGTCGAACCACTTGTTTCTGGGTGAGGCCCCGACTCTTTCAACTGTTTCCTTGCACTGCGAAGACACGATAAATAGTTCATTAAACTGACGTTATCTGCCCGATCGGGACAGCGTTCACGCTTATCTGTCGTCTGTTAGTTCTCCTTCGCCTCAAAGCAAATAAGCGGCCCGGGTAGTGAACCGTATGTACTTTCGTAAAATTCGTATGAATTCCGAAAATTCGTATTAATTCCGTAAAGAATTTTTGGCACCCCTGCCTGTGGACATATCAGTCGAACCACTTGTTTCTGGGTGAGGCCCCGACTCTTTCAACTGTTTCCTTGCACTGCGAAGACACGATAAATAGTTCATTAAACTGACGTTATCTGCCCGATCGGGACAGTGTTCACGCTTATCTGTCGTCTGTTAGTTCTCCTTCGCCTCAAAGCAAATAATCGCCCCACATACCTGACCCAGTTATCCGCACATTAACGTACCAATCGCGACAGCTGTTACAAACTACTGTCTTGTCCTACAGATGATTAGATTCGATCTCCGAGCAAATGTAATGATCCAAGCCAGTCTCGGTGTTTAGCCGTGGGGTGTGTCTTTGGAACATTAGCATTTAAATTTAGTACATCTTTCTAGTTGTGCGCCCTTTAACTCAGAAAATCTAGAGATGCGCATGATGCGCTACTAGAAAGATGTACTTAAAAGTTGAAGGGAAAACGTGTAAAACGATAAGACTGAGCTGAATGACATATGCATCTGCTTGGTGATAATGACGCTAAAAGAAAACAGACGACAGTTCTCCAAAGTTCCCGCCAACATTAGTTAGTCTTGTGTAGATAAGAATGTATACAGATCTGTTGATGGATCTTCTTTTTGTGGCAGCATGCATCATTTAAGTAACCAATCTTGAAAAAAAAACGCCAAAAAAGTGAACATTTTCATTTCATTAGTTATCTGGGCAAATCTTCAGAGAAAAACCAAATGATAAACATTTCGACAATAGAGCATTCTGGGAGACAAGTTAGCAGTACGTGTTCTTTTATTGGCTGATTTCCTAATTTTGCCAGCCCAGAATTGTCTAAAGGTAGCAAACTTTTAATCGTTTTAACGAGTTTTTGGTATGATGTGTGACACCTTCACAGTATATGGACGCCACCTAGCTATTTTGTCGTAAGCTGTATCTCTTTCGTCCATCCGAATTAAAGTGTATAATAACTTAAATATATGAAATAGGGACACACAGTATGCGTATCGTACCTGGTATGAAACTCATACAAACACAACAGCAGATTGACACTTTAACATTTATTCGCTTTCATAATGACCCCCACCTCCGTGGAAATCTCTGGCTTTTATCAATACTTGACCTGTAACATGTTACATGTACATGTACCAACATTGTAGTCGACACACAAGTCAGTTTAAGTGCAAACGTGAGGAGTAACCGCTGCACATGTGAATTTAACACTGTTTTACAATGTTATATCTTCCTTATGACGCTAAAACACACACAAAGTCCACAAACATAGAATCAACAAATTTGGAAATAGCAACAGGACAGTGATAATATTTTCTGCAGGCATCATTGCCTGCCAAGTTAGTCGTATAAAAATATAAGATTATTCTATACATCTTATATACAGTTCTTTGGTCAACGTTTTGGAATTTTACAATTTTACAATAATGTATTTGCACATATGTTTATACACTCATTGTTAATTGCTATACATTAGTTGACACACAATCTATATTAGTTTATAACAGGCGACAGCGTGTTGGGTTGGTTAGGTTTCAGCCACTTTCTATGCCCCGTTAGTGAGTTGTACAGATACCGTCGGCCGGAAACTGTAGAGGGAGGACACAAGAAAAAAAATCAAAAAGTAGTGTTAATATCTTACATTTCTATTGTCATATGTCATAGAATAATGATATGAAACCTGACAATGTGTAGTACTAAATAGTAATAGTAATAAATGTAGTACTACTCTATAATATGCCTGTGACTGTACAATGTATATCTGTATGTATGATTAAATATTATGTTCAAGATACCAGTGATCTAAAACATTTTACTTTTACATAAAATTCGTCAAAATCTGCAGTTTGATCACTGTAGCTTACCTACCGATCCTATTTTTTTCAGGACCGTGTTCGGAAACAAAACGCTGATTTTCCTAGACCTTATGTACTGGGTACAAGAAGGTACCCGATGAAATGGTGTAGTTTAGTAGTTTACCTGTATCTGTAGCGACGCCATCGAAGTAACTGTTACTCCGTCTGTCCTCAGATGTTAGTGAAGTTGTGGGACTTTTTCTTTCACGACTGTTTGGCGGCACTTTTTGTGTCTTCTAAGAAAGACAAAGTTTGGATAATCATAAGCAACGATCGAGACGTAAAAGCATTAATCTCACTTAAGTTCTTTCCCTACGTCTTTGGTGTTAAATCCAGGCCAGAATTAAGTCATTGCCCTTTTCTAGAATTAGATATTGTGACTATTATTCATAAACTGACTCGACAAAAAAAGTACAGAGACTGTCGTATGGCCAATTATAAACTATAAAATGAGACTGAAGCATATATTTGCACTGAAGTCAATACACAACAAGTCAAATACTGCTTTGCCTTTATATACCGCTAGACACGCTGATACTCACCTTCTCTGGGGTGTTTTGACTGGCATTCTTGACTGGAGTATCTAGTCTTGTATTCTGGACTCCTGTGAAAGGGAAGTTAGTGTTAATTGTTCATTGTTAAATGAATAGATATAGTAAGGTGTAATGTTGTTTTTATCATGATACAATGCATCACAGTCAACGAGTGGAGAGAGTAACTCTAAAATCGTCCCCGAGAGTGTATATTTAGTGATTTCACTTCAAAGCTTAGAATCCTACCATAGATTTCCAAAGCCGTCTATGATTTTCCTACAAAACAGTGACAAATGATTACCTTTAGTATCGGTCCAGGCGTTCGCGATGATCACAGGTTGAGTTTTAGCCTTTTCTTTGTTCTTTTCCTCTGGGTTTGTCGGTTTCGAATTTGCCCCTCTGTAAACAGCAATGTATCAGTCAGACATGGACTACAACTATTACTTCTACTGCTACTACTACTACTACTACTATTACTACTACTACTACTTCTACTACCTCTCTTACTACTACTGCTAGTGCTAGTACTACTACTACTACTACTACTACTACTACCTCTCTTACTACTACTGCTTGTGCTAGTACTACTACTACTACTACTACTACTACTACTACTACTACCTCTCTTACTACTACTACTACTACTACTACTACTACCACTACTACTAATTCTACTACTACTACAACTACTACTCCTACTACAATGCACTACTACTACTGCTGCTGCTGCTACTGCTACTACTACTGCAACTACTACTGCCCGTCAGTCTAAAAAAACTATGACATAATTGACATATTTGGGGGTGAGGTTCCCTTACTTGTCGACTTTGTTCTTCTTCCTCCTCTTACAAAAGCTGACACAGCAGACCACCAGCAGGATGAGCAGGATGAGCCCCAGAACTGCGCTGATCGTCAGCACGGCGATTCCGGCGGGGGTCTGCACAAAGGGTGTAGCAGCCGTCGTCACGCTGTTGTCAATCGACCGACGCACCTAAAATAAAACAAGAAATTATAAAATGCAGACTTTTGGAAAGTGCCTATCGATGCCTAATAGTATCTAGTTCTGTGTCTGCCCAATTCTATGCCTGAATTTGTTATGATTCGGATCACAGTTTCCGTGACTGTATTGGAACTGCCTGGTATGATCATGGACAAGTACTCGAGAGAACTATACAACATTGTATGTCTGGTATGTAATTACGACATAGGATTGACATAGTTTAATGGGGTATTACACTATGGTTTTTGTTTCATACCATGATTACTCAGTACACATTCCTGTTGACCGCATACCACATCCTACTACCCAGAGCAAACCGGGTCAAAACCCGGTCAATCAACCGAAACACAATCTCCTTCTACTCACTTCCCACCCCCGCTGTTCACGAGAAGATACAGAAGAACTTTATTGACACAACAAAAAGTACAGCGACTTTTGTAAGGTCAAAGACATGTAGATATACAGACAATTATACATGGGTATAACGAAAATATCCTACGTACAGAACAATAGGTGGGTCAACTAATACTACTTGTTCTAAGGTCTAAACATTCTTTGATATATTTACCTATTTGTACACAGTAAGGGTTATTGCCTTCTAGGATGAACTTAAATTTATCTTTAGCATGAAATGTAACAAATTCTGTTGTACAAACTCCAATAAAACTAGCGCCACCCAAAACAATACTTCCTGATGCTACATACCTGTGTGATCGGGAAGTTGAGGAAATGGCAAAGCTGGGAGTCCCCGAGTTATAACCTTCGCTTCTCAGGACATGATACACACAAACTCTCCATCAACCAGCGCCTCCCAAAACAATATTTCTGTCCCGAAAGTATTTCTGCTACATACCTGTGTGATTGGGAAGTTGAGGAACTCCTGGCCGGAGATGGCGGCGCTGGGAGTCCCCGAGTCGTAACCCTCGCTTCTCAGGACATGATACATACAAACTCCCCTTAAACTATGGCCACCCAAAGCAATATTTCCGTCTCGGAAGTAGCGATGCCACATACCTGCGTTATTGGGAAGTTGAGAAACTCCTGGCCGGAAACGGCGGCGCTGGGTGTCCCCGAGTCGTCCAGCCGGGCCGTCTCCAGGATCTCGTCGGCGGACAGGAAGGACTTCGCCGCCGACAGGCCGGAGGACGAGTCGGTCAGGGTGTTCGCGACCCCGTACACGGACACCGTCACTGAGCTAGAGGTAGGGATTAAAAATAGCAGATCAAAAACTAAAGCTGGCGCAAGCTTGAAAGTAATTTTATGGCAAAGATAGAAAGAGCACTCTGGCTTTACTCATTTTGCAATCCTACACAGACTCTATACTTACTCTAAGCCTGGTTACCATTCTCCACAGATGACTAAGGGGTTTTTCACCTAACACAGACGTATATTTAGCATAGGCAACTCCTGACATGCTAATTCTTTCCATCAGACATTTCTAGCTATTGCCGTTCTGTATAGACGAGCTAATTAAAACCGAGCCACTGCAAAAAAAAAAAAAACGGCGTGCGCAAATGGACCTGGGAGGGCGGGCAGTACTCCCAACACCGTGGAGATACCGGCGAGCCTACGGTGGTCTGGCTGCCAGGCTATACTTACTCGGACTGTAGTAGCCTCCTGCGGCTTGTGCCGCTGCTAGTTGTGACGTCAGACACCCCGATCCTGCCCGGCGAGAACACCGCCGACAGAGCGGCGATAAACGCGTCCTGGACCTAAGGGAACAAGAGAACATGCATATGTACTACTGATAACTTACGGGACGGAAGTATTGTTGTGAGTGGCTCACTGGAAATGGGATTTTGTGTATATCTTGTCAGTTGTAGGTTAACATTTCATGAGGTCACATAATACGAGAATGACAGACCACATGAGAAGATGTCAAACGACCTCACAGGAAGCCAGCAGCCAAAGATTGCATGAGACTATCTTTAGCCCAACACTACTTAATGAAAATCTAAAATCTCTTTTAGTTTAGCTTGCTATGGTAGACTTCTACACAAAGATTTACGAACCTGTAGGAACTGGTCGTATGACAGTGCCACGACCATGTCCACCAGACACTCCTCCGGACGGAACGTGTCCACTCGGAGGGTCGCAGGCGGGTTGGACGTCAGCACCGGGGAACCTGTGGGGAAGGAAAGTTTAACGAGTTAGATCTGTTTCTTTAGAAGACACCATTTATTTCATAAGAGTCAATACTACATAGACATAGCTTAGCGGATCCAAAACCGTGCCTATCTAGTTATATTCCTGAATGGGTTAGGGTTAGGATCAGGCACGGTTCTGGATAGTCTCCGCAAATCCAAGGACGTAGATTTGTCCCATGCACAGTTCTGGACACGCGGAGACTACATAGAATCGTGCCTGATAATAACCCTATTCCATTCATACATAGAACTAGATAACCACTGTTCTGGATACTATAGCGTATGTCCACACGCTATAAACAACCTACAGCCCTTTATTACGGTCTTAAAGGCCATAGTACTGTATTTACTTTTAAAACATTGTTCCAGCGCGTGCCTTACCCGCATCTCTGGCCACGGCGGTCATGACATACTTGTAGTCCGGCTGCAGTAGCGTGGAGTTGTCCTTCTTACGGAAATGTCCAGACAGAAGATCTACATGGAACAGGCTGGTCTGGTCCAGCAGGTAGTACTGGATCTCGCCGTTAATGCCTGAAGGAAACAGGGGAAATGGAGAGCAATATTTAGACGTAACTCAGATATTGAGAAACGGATAAGAACTAATTGTACTAAATATGACTTGATCAGAAGACGCCACTACATTTGTATGGTACCTGCGGTTACAGGTTTAGTCAAAATTGGAGCCACTTGGGGTTCGAGATGTATGCTGACAATTGTTCAGACAGAATATCTATAGACAAAATTATTAATGCTTGTGTCAACGAAAGAGATTTTTTAAAGAGACCACCAAAAAGTTATAACAATGGCCAGGTTTAGATGTGGTAATTATTAGTACAGGTTTGACAGTATTACAGATATCTGAAGCGGTGCCATATCAACATAGAATAACATTATCTGAAGTACTCTGAGCACCCATCCCATCATTGTATGGATATTTTGTTCATTTTTGAAAGACTATGGCCTACCTTGATCGGCGTCCGTGGCGCTGAGTGTGGCCAGGTTGGTGAGGCTGCTGCTGTCGTATCGGATTTCCAGGCTGAAGAACGTCTGCACCAGGATTGGCGCGTTGTCGTTGACGTCAGAGATCGTCACGTTCACCTCGACCAATGAGCTGAGCCCAGGCGATCCACCATCTGTAGCCACCACGTACATCTGCACGAAGTCTAGCGTCTCCCTGTCGTTCGCTTCTTTCACGGAAATCTGCCCTGAAGTCGCGTCAATGCTGTAGAACTGTAGCCCCAACGTACTGCTTGAAGATATGGAGTAGGTTATGTCTGCGTTTGTGCCGGAGTCTTCATCAGTAGCGCTGACTGTTAAAATACTCGTGCCCTGGGATAAGTTCTCTTCGATGGTTACGCTGTAGGATGGTTGGGTGAAATTTGGCGTGTTGTCGTTGAGGTCGAGAACGGACACAGTCACCGTCGCTTGGTCTGAGAACTGAGGTGTCCCGCGGTCTCGCACCGTCACCAGGAAGGTGTAGGAGGAAACGGTTTCACGGTCAAGGCCGCCGCTTGTGGATATCACACCTGGAATTGTATAAAATTTCTTTCATTCTTACTTTTTCATTCTTTATTTTAGGTAAAATAACACCCATCAATAATAATACAAAACTCATATGTATTCAGTAAAGACGTACAAATTATAGAAAAAATATTACCTATTTTCTCATTTATTTATTCATTTATAAATTATTCAATGTATTTGTAATGACCAGTAGTTAGTTTTTATTTCTTTATTATTTCAACTGTACTCATGATGATCATGATTTGAATTCAAAGAGTAGAATAAGGCTTTCAGGCTTTATTTCTCCTCCTGCAGTTTGTTTATTGACTATCCAACAAGCATACCCCGGGCCTTTTTAGGGCCATCCATATCTCTCAAAAGAACTCCGTCTATCCCCTTTGTCATTATATAGCTCCTTACTGCCTGTTTATGTTTCCGTGGAAATAAAAATTAAAACAACAACAACAACAAATACCTGTAGTGTTGTCCACAGTGAAAGGAACTGTCGCGTCCGTTATGTAGTAGTTGACTTCTCCATTAGTGCCGTTGTCGACGTCGGTAGCGAGGACCGTGATCACCGACGTTCCTACGGCGACGTTCTCGTCGATGTTCGCCTGGTACGACGCCTGTGCGAACGCCGGAGCGTTGTCGTTAATATCCACGATTCGAATGTACACAACTGTCGTGGCCGTGTAGAAGGGGCTTGCACCATCTTGTGCTTGGATTGTGAGGTTGTACGTGTCTTGTACTTCTCTATCAAACGTAGCGATGTTGAAAATGTAACCATAGATGGGATCAATGCTGAATTTGTTGTTGTCGTTTCCAGAGAGGATGAAGAGCGTAACCTCACTGTTTGGCCCGCTATCCGGATCAGTAACAACGGGAGTCAGTACAGTAGTGTAGAGGGTGACATCTTCGTCCACGTTAACTGAGTAGGAAGCTTGTGCAAAGCTTGGCGGGTTGTCGTTTACGTCTTCAACGGTGATGGCGACGAAAGCTGTAGCAACCAGCGCCGGCGTGCCGCCATCCGTAGCAGCGACGGAGAGAATGTAGAGGGGAGTGAACTCGCGGTCAAGAGCGTCGATGAGACTCAAGACGCCATCTTGGTTTATCTGGAACCGGTTGAAGAGATCTCCCGAGGCGATGGAATACGTGATGGCAGCGTTCGTACCAGAGTCGTCGTCTGACGCGTAGACTGTTAGCAAGTCCACAGGGTACGGCGAATCCTCTGAAAGAGTGTACGTATAACTAGTGGGGGAGAACACTGGACTGTTGTCGTTAAGATCGTTCAGTATAATCTGCACCCCTGACCAAGAGGAGTAACGCCGCGGAGAACCATTGTCGTACGCCCTGACGAAGAAATAGTACGACCTCCTAGACTCGAAGTCCAGCGTGCTTTGACTAGATATGGCACCGGTCGTGCTGTTGAGGTAAAAGAAATTTGCGTCGGAACCACGGGTTGTGTAGGTGATGTCACTGTTGTTACCCTCGTCAGGATCTGTGGCTAGAACTGATGTGAGGACAGTTCCTATAAGTTGGTTCTCGTCAACAGTTGCAGAATACACGGTGTTACTCATAGTGGGTTCGTTGTCGTTAATATCTGTGACGAAGACGTAGAGCAACATGAAGTCGTAAAAGTCTGTATCTTGTGCTGTGATGTTAACTACGTAGGACGCCTGTGTTTCCCTATCCAGTCCAGCGCCAAGTCTGACTATACCAGTAACACTGTCTATGAGGAAAGTAGGAGAGCTGCCGGATACAATAGAGTAGGTGAGTTCGCTGTGTTCTCCCAAGTCGCTATCTGTAGCGTTGGCGTCGTATAGCACAGTCCCCAGCGCGGCGTCTTCTGATACATTGATGGTCGTGTTGTCCACGGCGAACACTGGCGGGTTGTCGTTTGCGGATATTACATTGATGATCACTTCTGCTGTATCCGTGAAGGTCGGTTGTAGCACGTCGGTTGCTTGCACGGTCAGGACGTATTGCTGCTCGGTTTCGTAGTCTAAAGCCCCTACCAGGAACAGCCTGTCGAAAATTAGCACGAAGAGACCTGCACCGTTACCGGAAGTGACACTGAGAATGGAAATTGCGTTGGCACCATCGTCAGCGTCCGTGTAGGTAAGTACTGCCAGTTGGGTGCCATTGGCGGCGCCTTCCACAACACTTACAGAGTATGACTCGGGCTCAAAACTTGGAGGGTTGTCGTCTACATCCAAAACCGTGATTTCTACCTGCACATCGGAGGAAAGCTGTGGGGTTGCTCCGTAGATGTTATCGTACACCCTCACCGTTAGGTTGTAGAAGTCTGTAGTCTCCCGATCGAGCGGTCTTACCACGGATATTTCTCCCGTCTCGTCGTTGAGAGTGAACTTGTTGCCAGTGTTTCCCGAGACGATTGAGTATCGGAACATGCCCTGAGCCTGATCGGGGTTATCCCCATCGGTAGCCCCGACGGTCACCACCACAGTCCCGCTTGTAATATTCTCGAAAAGGTTTGCTGAGTAGGACGAGTCGTTGAACACGGGAGGAAACTCGTTGACGGGATTCACGTGAACGGACACGGTTACATTGGTACTGAGGGATAGAAACCCGTTGTCTGCTACAGTCAACGTTAAGTAGTACCAGTCGTCTCCTTCGTAATCTAGCGAGTTCTGAACTTGGAGTTGATTCTGTACCATCGCAAACCGGTTAGTTGGATCCCCGCTTATTATACTGTACGAGAGATCTGCGTTGGCATCTAAGTCTGCATCGGAACAATTGAAAGAGGCTAAGGTGGTTCCAATGTTGACATCTTCGTCCAATTCGAAATTCAGGACGTAGGAAGGACACGTAGGTTGGTTGTCGTTGACGTCAGTGACGTTGACGTACACGTAGACGTTGCTGGATAGCGCGGGAGATCCCAAGTCTGTAGCCGTGACGGTGAGAACGTAGTAGTCCGTGTCTTCCCTGTCCAGACGCCGCTTGAGTTCCACCTGTCCGCTCGTGGCGCTGATCTGGAACCTGCCGGCAGCGTTCCCGCCCGTTAGGCTGTAAGAGAAGCGCCCGTCGTCTCCTCTGTCGGAGTCCGTGGCGATCACTTGGAGGAGGACAAGCCCCGTGGTTTCGTTCTCAGCAACGCTCACCTGGTCAAAAAAATCATAATATTTCTAAGTGTTGGAACATTAGGTTGATCAATGGCATTTACCAACACAGGTGGACATAATATTTCGCAATCTCTCATTATAATTTTTGTCTGTAAATGTTCCGATGTATTTTTGGGTATTTTCTTAATGTTTTATTGTTTGGTTTCGCCGCCAATATAAGTAATTTCAACTTGAGTGCGTCGTCACTTGTTTTTTGGTTACTTGTCTTTGATCTATAAATACAAGCACTCACCTGGTAACTTGCCGCCACAAACGCCGGTGCTGCCTCGTTCACCCCGGTCACCTCCACACTGACGTAAACAGTTGCCGTGTTACTCTGGTATCCGCCGTCTGTCACCTCCACCTGGGACACAGGTATCTATTAGTGACTGGTATCAAGTTGTGCTATGTATGTAGTTATGTATGTAGAACTGGACGTCCCTCACCGTCACACAACTCCTGACAGCAGACAGAAAGAAGTGGCATCGCCTCTGCTGCAAGGTCTGCTTTGTCCCCCAAAGACCAGTGTCGGTCATGGGACTAGGTAGGTAGGTAGGTAGTATAGTGTAGTTGTAATATTGTAGTGTTGCATATATTGCAGTTATTAAGTACTTATTGTGCGGCTGTTATATTGTAGTGTTGTATATATCGTAGACGTAGTTATTAAGTGATTTACGGTGGAATTGCTATGTTGTATTTAGATCTATTATGATGTAATTTTAATGCACAGGACTCTAGAAACTGTAGTAAGGAACTGTTGCTTTCTTACAAATTGAGTTCCTAATAAACATAAACATAAACCTGGATGTAGTAACTGTCCGTCGTCTCGTAGTCAAAGGGCCCCGCCAGGTACACGTCACCGTTGCCAGGCGACACGGCAACGCTGCCGTCACTCCCGTTCACGATGGCGTACGTCAGCTGGGCGTTTACGCTGACGTCGTTGTCGCTGCAGTTCACTGTGAGTAACATGATGTTTCTTTTATTGTATTTACTGACAAGGCGCGTTGACTACACACTTAAGCTTATAGCTTATATTAATGTGATAGGCAAAACAAAATACATTGCAAATGTGCATGTATACATACAACTAAGCAACGTGCAATCATAATTATAACAAAATAATGTAAGGTAGTACATGTACAAAGTAACGAAAGTCATATGAATTGTAAGAAAAATTATATTTGATATTTATATAAAGGTAAATTGTAAGCAGTTACTCAAAGTCAGCCTGGTATGACATTGGTAACTCAAATCTTACGGCTTCTTTTGAGCATGCTGTAGAAGTTTGATATTGTTCGAAATAGAAATAAGAAGCCAACTAGTTAATGAATTAGCACATTATCAGAAAGACCGTTGAAGTTTGGAGTTTTGACGTTTCCTACCAGTTGTGAGCACGGTGTTTAGAGTGGTGTTTTCAGGCGCGGTGACGGTGTATGAGGTGGGGAGACAGGACGGAGGGTTGTCGTTGGCGTCCTGGATAGTGACTGTCACGGTACTGGTGCCGGACCTCTGCGGGGAGGTTCCACCGTCGATGGCGACAACTGCAGACAGTTACACACACATTATAGAAACTTTCAAAACACACTTGTAGAGGTTATTAATAAGCATCTAATACAAACTCCCATGACAACTTGCCACTTTTTCAGAGCTGAAGAAAGGTGGCTTAACTTCTGGTCGTAACAGGTTGTTTTTAATTAGACATGTAGTTTGATTCAGATTCAAAAATCAATCACTATGACATGGCAAGAAATACAACTTATATCTTGTTGATATTGCTGATGTTGCCTCTGCATTGACCATTGCAGTAGAGCTGAAGACAAAAAATGTATGTAAAAGCACACAAAAAATTGAAGAAGGCATGGCTCACCAGTCAGCACGTATGTGTCCACCGCCTCCCTGTCCAGCACAGCTGCAGTACTCAGGTCACCCGTCAGGTAGTCAAGACTGAAGGCGCCGCCCTGGTTCCCGGATGTGATGTAATACTTCAATTCACCTGGGGGACACAAAAATGATGATGAATAATTACATTTGACAAATACATTTGACGTCGGCTGTCGTCAAAAGACGCTAGGTATATCAGACAGAGACAAAATAACAAAGAGGTTTATCAGAGAACAAAACAGAAAGGCGTGGCAGATATGATGAAATGGAAAAGGCTAGGATGGTGAGAAGATGTCCTGGGGAAGGGTGACAATCTACCAGAAGCCATCTTTAGGTATAAGAAGCAGACCCACACTAACAGGGAGAGCGAATGCACTAAAGGGACTTGGAAGCAAGGAGAAGTTATTGATTACGAGCCACAGCAGACGACACCGCTCAAATAGAGAAGGACGCCTTACAAGTCTAGTCAGTGATGGAAGTCGAGCAACATAGCTTTGATGGTACATGCATACAGTACCTTGTGTTCCGGCATCCTGGTCCACAGCATTAACCCTGAGGATGGACGTTGCCAGTGAGATGTTCTCGTTGATTGACACGCTGTACGGGTTCAGGGTGAAGACCGGCTGGAACTCGTTCTCTCCGGTTATCTCCATGGAAACGGTCACCTCGGCGGACAGGGAAGGAGAACCGTCGTCTGACACTGGGGAGGGATTCACATAGATGATACATATAGTTAAAAAAATGCCAAAATTCAGAAAATTGCTCCTGGGCAGAATTTGATGGTATATGGCCAAAAATAGGTCTGTCAACTTAAGGAATAGAGAACCTAGTGAAGGTAACACTGATCGTGCTCTCTGTCTCTGTCTCTCTGTCTCTCTCTGTCTCTGTCTCTCTGTCTCTGTCTCTGTCTCTCTCTCTCTCTCTCTCTCTCTCTGTCTCTCTCTCTCTCCCTTACACTGTGTTGCTCACAAACCATCACATCAAAGCTGTTTCGCATAATCATCTAGAACTATTCCTAGATAAATTAAATCTGCACGTCATAGAACGGATTATTACTCACACACTTGTATTGCCTAATTTCCTGCACTAAATACGCCTTTCTTGTATATCTAGAATCCACACATACAATCCTAGCATTGTATAGCACCACCCAAAACATTACTTCCGTCCCCGACGTAATCTCGTCGAAAGAAACATTTCTGAGATGCCTTTACCAGTGATGGTAAGTTGATACTCCGTGGTGTTCTCGTAGTCCAGCCCGGTGCTGACAGTCAGCTGCCCGGTACTGCCGACGTGGAACTGTCCGTACAGATCTCCTGACGTCAGGGTGTAGGTCAGGTCACCGTTCACGCCTGCATCTGGGTCACTGTTTTCAGAAAGAAAAAAAAGATATTTCAGAGAATAGATATAATCTAATAACATGGGATGCTGCCAGTAATATGTGGTATAGCGGTCTAATCAGTAAATAATGAAGAAGAAGAAGAAACGAAGTATTAGCTTATTACATAAGCAGTACAGCTATTCTTTAACATTTTGTATGCTATCATCAGCATTCTTTTGCCCTTATAATTTTGTGTCTTTTGTGACGACACTAGCTAAGAAAATGGCCACTACGATTATTTGTACCCATCAACAATAAGTAAGGTAAAAGGTAAAGTAGTCTCATAGCCTTTTGAAGCTAGCCTTGCCACTCGTCACTAATTCCACAATAAGTAGTGACACTAAAATGTGCGTTCACCTGCATGTTAGCTGCAGGAGTGATGTTCCCGCTGGTACGGACTCCGCGAGCGTCCGGTCGTAGTAATAACCCGTACATGTCGGCGCGTTGTCGTTCACGTCATCAATGGTCACGTGAACGGTCGCGTCTGCTGACCTCCCTTTTTTGTAAGGGTACAAAAAATCATCGTAAATTGTCAAGTGTTACATTCGGTATATGGACATCATAAAGACATATCTTTATGTCACTTATTTGTGCCTTTTCCCTGCTTTCTTTATATGTATATTCTCTACAATTTGCGTGTCATGTGCATAGTGTCATGTCCTTTTCACTCCCTTTGGAGCATAAGGGTGGTGCCCATCTTTATTTCTGGATCCCTTGGGCCACACAGTTGTGCAAGCACTACAGCAGGGGGCTAGTAAGCTGGTTGTGCTGTGTGTTATAGTGGCATGTAGTTTGAGCAAACTACGAACTACAAGAAGAATAGTTACAATGAAAATTGTCAAGCTAAATGTGTATCTGAATAAGCTCAGACTTACTGGGTGAGGTCCCTCCATCGTAAGCCGTCACCGTCAGGGTGTAAGAACCGGTGACCTCACGGTCAAGTTCTTTGTCAATGGTGATCCACCCGGTGACGTAATCCATCGCGAAGTGACCGTCAGAGTTCCCGGATGTGATGAAGTACGTGACGTCACCGTCGGAACCGGCGTCGTCATCAGAAGCCGTGGTCCGAACCACCGCGTCACCGAGATTTCCGTTTTCGTAGACGGTAGCTGTGTAGGTGCCGCCGTTTGAAAATACCGGGTCAAACTCGTTGTATGCAGTTATCTGTATGCCTACTCTGGCGGTGGATGTTAGCTGGGGTGTGCCCTGGTCGCTAGCCGTTACTGAAAGAGTGTAAACTGTGGTGGTTTCGTAGTCCAGATATGCGGTGGAGGTGACGTACACGTTGCCGCTTGAATCTACGGCAAAAATGTTGTCCGGAGCGTTGCCAGCGACGATGTTGTAATCCACGGTGCCACCGACTCCGAGGTCGCTGTCGCTGGCTACAACCGTAACAACGTTGTAACCGACGGTTGCGTTCTCGGGTACCTCTGCGGTGTAAGCAGCCGGGCTAAACACCGGCGCGTTGTCGTTGGTGTCTCCTATTGTGATCGTCAGTGTCACGCTGTTAGATCTTACCGCAGGGGTGGTGCCTGAATCTGTTGCTACGACTGTTAGCGTGTACGTGTCTTGTGTCTCCTTGTCTAGTGCTCCCTTCACCCTGACATCCCCTGTGTACTCATCAATGTAAAACTTCGAACTCGTGGTTGAGAAGCTGTACGTAACGTCGTCTGGCAAGCCGTCTGAGCCGAAGTCGGCGTCTGTGGCAGTGACTTTGCCAATTGAGACGCCAATAGCAGTGTCTTCGTCTATGGCGATGCTGTAGGAAGCTTGGGAGAAAGCTGGGTCAAACTCGTTATACGGGGTGATGGTTATACCGACTTGTGCGGTCGACGATAATGGGGTCGAGCCCTGGTCGGTGACTGTGACTGTTAGGGAGTAGGAGGTGGTCGTCTCGTAATCAAGAGCGCGGGCTGTAGTGATGACGCCGAGTTGGTTTATAGAGAAATCTGTGTTGGTGTTTCCTCCAGTGATACCGTAGTAGAGATCGTCATTGATACCGGTGTCAAAATCGAAAACAGTGATAAAGGCTACAGGAGAGCCGACTGCGTCGTTTTCGCTAAGGGTAACTTGAAGCGATGAAGGTATAATGAAAGGAGCGTTGTCGTTCACATCTGTAACTGTGATCGTGACGTTCACTTCAGCAGACAGAGCATCGGACGGGTTGGCTGGTTGGTCGGTGGCTGTAACTACTAGGGAATAGAATGATGTGCTTTCTCTATCTAGCGCAGACTTCAGAACCAGCCATCCTGTGGTCTCTTCCAGTAGGAAGGTGCTGTCAGCAGGCATGCTGAAGCGGACAACACCGTCGTCCCCTGCGTCGGTATCCGTTGTGATGACTTGTACAACGGAAGTGCCGAGGCTTGCGTCTTCTGACACTGAAGCGACATACGCTGTCTCCGAAAACTGCGGCGTGTCTTCATTCACCGGGCTCACTGCTACTGTTACCAGTGCGGTTCCTGTCAGTTTAGTGGCACCCTGGTCTACAGCGTGGACGGTTAGCGAGTAAGACTGAGGATCGGTGCTGGAGTCATACTCTAGTGGGTTCTGGAGTGTGATCTGTCCAGTTGTCTGGTCGATGGCGAACGTGTTACCGACGTTACCGGAACCAGAGAAAGAGTACTGAATTTGGGCGTTTGTACCCAAGTCGAACAAATCCTGGCATGTAACGGTTGTTATCAACGTTCCTGTAGCTGTACTCTCGTTAAAGGTGACGGCGATGTTTGAAGGCGTGCACTGTGGTTCGTTGTCGTTGACGTCGTTGACCGTTATGTTGACCCATTTTGTGATGGTGTTCGGAGTTCCGGCGTTGAACAGGACTCCGTCCGAGGCCTGGACTAGGATGTTGTAGGACGCGGTGGTCTCCCGATCTAACTCGTCTACTAGATATAGAATGCCCGTGGAGGAGTCTAAGGCAAACTTGGCTTCGATGTTTCCTGGGACGAAACAAACTATTCCGTCAATACCATGGAAGTAGGAATATATAAAGGAAAGGTTATATGCAGAAAGTGCAATATACTTAAAGTACAGAGGGCACAATTCAGCCTCTGGCCCTTTTGGCAAAACGCCTTTTTATCAGTAAATCGGTTTTGATTGATCATCTTATTACATTATAGAGATACATAGAAACGATTGATAAGCTGATGTTGTTAGAAAAAACACCATTTTGAACTGTCAGACATCTTATGGTAGATACATGTAATTTTAGTTTACGAGAGCAATCAAACAAACACTTAATTATGTAAAGTTACTTTAGAATTCATACATGACAAAGTTGCTACCTGACAGGATAGTGTAGGTGATCTGCCCATGCGCGTTGACGTCAGAGTCTGCGTCAGTAGCAGCGACGTTCGTGATTGGATCGTTCACCGTGAAGTCCTCGTCCACGCTAAGAACGAGATCCCCGGAAATGACGAAGGCCGGGGAAAACTCGTTCACAGGGTCCACGTGCACCGTGACGGGGATGACGTCATAGTTGGGCGGAGAGCCGTTGTCAGAAACCGTGATCTCCAGGTCGTACTTCCTCGGAACTGTTGGGAGAAGAATTGAAATGTGTTGGGAACATTCGGGAACAGTCGAAACTGACCAAGACCACTCAGAAGAATGATAAAAATCTGGTCTATGTGTATAGGTGGTCACTATGGTCAGGATTTGTAATGCTTGTTGCACTGGGTAAAAATTATCTAAGGGACCAAAAAAAATAAATTACAGTGACCGGGTAGTCCCTAAGAAGAGGCGGTCAGTACTTTATATAGCTTTGTGGTTTATATAGTCAGAGAATGGTATTTTGCCATAAGAAATTTGTGAAAATGTCATAGTTCCTCAGCTCTAAACGATCAATGGAAAAAGGAGAGGACTTTCATGATTGCAACTAATAATTACAACCTCATTTCCATAATCAAGTACAAAAATTTGCAAAAGCTCTACAGTTTGGGGAAAAAGCAATATTGAACAGATGTATCTTCCACATTACCCGCATCATAGTCCAGCGGGTTGGTCAGCAGCAGATCTGACCCGTTCATGTAGAACTGGTTGGTGTCGCCCGCTGAGATGGAGTAAGTCAGCGCTCCAAACAGCCCGGCGTCAGCGTCGGTACAGGACAGGGACGTAACGACGTAATCGGCAGGCTGGGTCTCTGAGACGGTCTCCGAGAACACCGAGGGCACGCACTCGGCAGTGTTGTCGTTCACGTCGTCCAGAACGACCAAGACTATCGTGGTGGAGCTGAGCGGAGGGGTGCCGCCGTCAACCATCGTCACCTATAAGATATAAATCATGTATGTTTAAAAGATGTCTGGGCGCTAGAAATTCCTCCAATTTTTATATATTCTATTGTAATATCATATTTTCATTCCATACTGCATAGATTCTCTTGTAAGGTAGCGTAGTTGTTAAATAACAGTAGATGTTGAACCTTGTACAATGGTTTTGCAATAAAGTTTACTTGAAATTTTGTTATTGGCTCTTATTTGATCATTTTTCATTGTCATTACTTGTTACTATTAGTATCTTGTTCGTTAAGAATTAGTTCTTAAATTAAAAGGGGGAATTCAAGCAATGACTGCATTTCTAATCCCCAGCACTGTTTGCTTGGTTCTTGTTTGTCATTTATATAACATACTTTGCTTTTAACGTGTGGAAATAAGTTTAAGACAATAAATAAAGACTGCCATCACCTCAAGTGTGTAGAGCGGAGTGGTCTCAAAGTCTAATGGCGAATTCGTCACGATGACTCCACTGCTCGGATCGACGCTGAAGACACCGTTTGTGTTCCCTGACGTAATGCTGTACGTCACAATACCGTGTGCGTGGCTAGAGGCGTCGGTGTCCGCTGCGTCCAAGTCAATAACCGTGTTGCCGATAGCGATGTCTTCCGAGATGTTTTCCGAGTACAAAATTGAAGAAACCGTCGGAGTGGCTTCGTTTACGGGTGTGACTTCGATAGTGACGGTTAGCGTAGTCGTTTTCTGATTTGAGGTTACTACTGAGTTATCGTTCACCAAGATGACAAGAGAATACAGCGTTTCCCCGCCATCATAGTCTAATGCAGACGATACAAGAATCTGTCCTGTTGCAACGCTAAACCTCGTAGACGGGGTCTGTGTGGCTGTATAGGATAACGCCCCGTCAAAACCACTATCGTTGTCGGTACAGCCCAAATCCACGACCAGGCTGCCTGCTGCTGCAGTTTCGCTGACTGAGACGCCGAAGTTGGAAGAGGTGCATGTGGGGTAGAACTCGTTGACGCCGTCCAGGTTGACCGTGACCGTGGCGGTGGAGGCCAGCCCGCCGCCGTCTGTCGCCACGACCACAAGGTTGTAGCTGGTCGACGTTTCAAAATCCAGGGTAGAGGCCACGGAGATCACGCCTGGTCAGAAACATATCAGGTAAAGTAAGAAACAAACAAACACAAAAGTAACGTACCGTTAGAATTCTAGAACTTCCCACAGTAAACAACCATGGGAGTTGTCGTCACAGTAGTCACTACAGACAAGGTCCTTCATGTTTGTATCAATGGAAATAATTATCTAAAGGACCACCAAAAAGTGGTCACAGGTGGTCCTTATGCAACGGTTGCCACTATTGTAGGCTTGGCTGTAATTGTTATTGTCACTTTAAGCCTTTTAACGGTATAGAAATAGTGTAAGACAACGTTTGAGTAAGAACATGTTCATGAGCTAAAGCAGACTTTCGGAAGCAGCAAAGTGATAGTTCTGGTTATATAGTTTATGCTCTACAATTGCAATCAAATACCTCAACTATTGAGGAACTACATTACTTCATACAAGTGGCAATGTCAATAATATCAGAATTCCGACCCACCAGAAGAAGCATCTATCCGGAAAGGGTGTGTTGCCGGCCCCGTGATGGCATACGTCACGACGCCGTGCGCCTGGTCCGCCGCGTCAGGGTCCGCGTCATCTACGTCATAGATGACGTCACCTATGGGCGTGGCCTCGGAAACTGTGACGGTGTCGTCTGCGATGGTCGGCGTGCCGTCGTTCACGGGAGTCACGCCAATCGCGACAGGGACTTCCAGGGTCGTGGTGCCGTCGCTCAGCTGCACGATCAGGTCGTACGACCGAGGCGTGTTCGTGGGGTCGTCGTAGTCGAGCGCGCTGCCGAGGCAAGACAAGACTAAGGTTAAGCTAGTCGTCTATGAAGGTGACACATAATGACATAGACAAAGAAATTGTTACTTAAGCAAGTGGATAGAGTTTTAAAAATCTTTTTTTCAAAATCCATCCAGTTGCTTGAGTAACATTTTAGTTGTGTAAAGGTAGTCCCTTAGCCTTTTTAGGCTGTAGGCGCAGTGGGTTGTTAATGTACTGTGCTACTGTATCTAGGGCACGGCATTGGAAGGTGGAGCCCATCCCTCTCCTTCCACTGCCTTTTACCTCACCAACCGATTCATGTTCGCATTTTACACCTGGGTGGAGTGAGGAAAGTCGTATAAAGTGCCTTTCCCAAGGACACGACGTCTAGTCAGGAATGCCAGGGATAGAACCCGTGACACTTTCTAGTGTGCTCTATCCCACCCTGCCATTCGAAGTCACTACGCTGCGGAGTAAGTAAAAAGGAAATTTTACCTGCCGGGGAAGATCGTGTAGAAACCCCCGCTCTGTGTGATCCGGAATGTGCCGGCAGGGTCACCGGAAATGATGCTGTAGGTGAGGACGTCTCCGTCATTGTCGTCACAGTCGATGTTCACGAAACCAGGGAAGATGTTGACGCTCTCATCCTCAGGTACTTGGACAACGAACGTGGTCTGTGGGGGAGAACATCACTCTAGTTAACTAAATCTAAAGTCCCGGTGATCACATATGCATGAGATATAATTGTTAATTAGGGTGGATAAAATTAGAATAGTTAAACGCGTTAGTTTTTAGTCATACTTTGATGCCGTAGAATTGTCAATGTCAAAAGCCTGTGATGGAGAGTAGAGTGTAGTGAAAACGCTTTCATGTTTGGTTCAAGCGGGGGCACGATCAAAGTAAAATAAGTAAGAATTTTCAAGCAGGCAAACTACAGACAAGGATCTAACACAGAAAATTCCGTAAGAATACAGTTGAATACTACAGGACACATGCACGAATATCCCAAGAGTTCTGAGACCAATGTGAGCTCTAACCTGTGTACAAGATGGCGGGTTGTCGTTGACGTTCCCGATGTAGACCAGTACGAAGGAGTCTGCACTGCGGGCGGGGTTCCCTCCGTCCACCGCCTGGATACTGATGTTGTACGACCCGGACATCGTCTCAAAGTCAAGACCTTCATACAACACAAAACGTTAGAATATGTTTAATTAGTCATAAAAGAAACATAAAAGTGAAGTGTATATATGTTGTTGTTCGTCCGTCGTAGTCGACGATGACCAATGAACATCACATCAGGTCTTGTGTGTCCGGCTGTGGCTCACAAGTCCTATACGGGCTCTGAAGGTTCTGCCACAGGTCGGGCACAGGTGGGTTTCTGGAGTCCGGGATGTGGGGGCAGCTCTGGAAGCGCGTTTCCTCACGGCTTCTGCGATCCTGGTTTTCTCGTAGAGAGTAGCACCGCTGCTGATGTGGCTGCGCCAGGCAGCACGGTTTTGGGCTGCTGATTCCCAGGTAGATGTATCTATCTTGAAACTTTTAAGAGTTGTTTTCAGTGTGTCCTTAAAGCGCTTTTTCTGTCCTCCCACTGAGCGCTTGCCTTCTACCAGTTCACTGTACAGAAGTCTCTTCGGTAGCCGTGTGTCAGGCATCCTTACCAGGTGGCCTGCCCATCTGACTTGGGCTCTCCTCAGCAGTGTGTGGATGCTTGGCAGATCGGCCCGCTGGAGGATCTCTGTGTCTGGGACTTTGTCTTGCCAAGTGATCTTCATGAGTCTTTTCAGGCAGTTTATGTGAAAGCGATTGAGCCTTCTGGCATGACGTGCGTAGATCGTCCATGTTTCGCAGGCGTACAGTAGTGATGGCAGTACAACTGCCCTGTACACCTTTAACTTCGTGCTCAGTCTAATGCCTCTCCTCTCCCACACTGAGGCTCGCAGACGTCCGAAGGAGGAGCTTGCCAGAGCGACCCGTGCGTCAACCTCATCGTCTATGCTTACAGACCTGGAGAGTGTGCTGCCAAGGTACTTGAATTTTGCAACTGCCTTTAGTGATTCCCCGTTTACAGTAATGACAGGATCCACGTACGGCTTATGCGGTGCAGGTTGGTACAGGACCTCTGTTTTCTTAGTGCTTATCGTGAGACCAAAGTTGTCAGCAGCAGAAGAAAAGCGATCCATACTCTGTTGCATCAAGTCCTCTGAGGCAGCATTTAACGCACTGTCGTCTGCAAACAGGAAGTCACGCACAGACGTCACCTTCACCTTCGTCTTGGCCTTAAGTCTCCTCAAGTTGAAGAGTCTGCCGTCAGTACGGTACCTGATTTTGATGCTCAGAGGTCAATGTATATATAGACCTTCATACATGTACAACACAAAACGCATTTGATTTATTGTACTTTTGTAATGTCCTTTTACGATGACTACATTGATATAACCTATGAGCTCAAGTGTGTTGTCTCCACCACTAACAAGTCGGGTTCAAAAACTGTAACATTTATCCAAATAGGTAATAATTTGCTATTAGAGTTTAGCCCCACTCGACTTCATTTGCATGCCGTGGACTGACTCCCCTTGGTGAATTATTTCCCTTTTTGACAAATTCTACGATTCCCACCCCATTAGGAAGGCTAATGATTTTGTTATTACATTTATCAGTATATCTTGTATTAATGATTTAAAAAGTGCGTACCTTTGCTGACCAGTAGCTCCCCGGTTTTAGGATCAAGTTCAAAAGCTGAATCTGTGTTCCCTGCCGTGATGCTGTAGGTCAGGTCCCCGTCCGTCCCCGCGTCAGAGTCGCTTACGTCCAGGGTCAGCACAGTCGTGCCGATAGGCTGGTCCTCGTCAACCTGGGATGGCGTCAGATAGCATGGGTTAAACATGAAGCATTTTCCATATTGACCTTTATTTTCAGCCCAACACATGGAAAAGTTTTTAGCTGTTCTCAAAATGAGGAAAATGCGACTCACAGGAACTTTAACTGCATTTGACAACGGTAACCTTGCTCAGTCTTCAGTCAGTCGGAAATTCCGATTTTCTTGTGTTAAAGAACAGTGTAACTTTTCACATGTAATTTGCTAACTTTGAACTATCAGGCCAGCACGTTCTGATTTAGACCATTAAGTATTTATGTCTTCAATCTTTGTGGGAAGGTAAGAAAATTCTCTAGGAAATGCAACATGTAAAGTAATATTGACAAAGCAGACGAAAGTACTTAAATGCATTTCAATTACCGTAACCGTGTCAGACGGCAAGGCGGAAGGCGAGCCCCAGACTGGGTTAAACTCATTCACATGTTCTACGTAGATGACGACTTGGGTAGTTGCTGTGTTGGAGGACTGGTCTTGCGCTTTGACCACTAATGTGAAGCTGGAATAAAAAATAATAATAAGGATAAGTTTTCACTTCAAATTTTCAGACAACAAAGTCAATTAACAAGCGACCTCATACCACAAACTACCTCCCAGGACATACTGAGTCACAGCCCTGTCAATCAACTGGAACCAAATCTCTACCAACCCACTTACTTCCGAGCCTAATTGTTGGGGACATGAAACATACAAACTCCCTCCAAACCAGTGCCGACCAAAACAATACTTTCGTCCCAGAAGAAAAAAAAACACTTCGTGGCCACTGTCATAGTCTAGCTGGTTCGAGAGCATGACCAAGGGTTTGTTCTTTGTATTCATTTATTAATTCATAAAAAGGGTACTTACACATCATCTCCCGTGTCGTAGTCGACTTGGTTGTTCAGCATGACCCATGGGTTGTTCTCGGTGTTATTCAGAGTGAAGAGCCAGAAGTTCCCTGCCGTGTTTCCCGCGATGAAGGAGTAGGTCAGGTCCGCCCCGGCCGTGTCCGCATCGGTCACCGTCAGCTGGACAATATAGGCGTCTGTGGAGGGAAGTTACATGGAATAAGATGCAAGTAACGGCCATCAACGTTGAGTTTTACAAAAAAAAAATTATAGGTCATAACACTGAAACCGAAAAATGAATAATGTAGGGTAAAAGAAAACGACACCCTCAACTAAACGACATAGGGAATGTTTGATTTGACTTGGTGTAATGTTGTTTTCTTGTTCGGCCTTCAAGACGCACCACGGCAACCTGTGCAAAACCACACCGCCAGAGAACTTTGGAAGGAGGTCGATGAAGTGGGTGACAAGGGAAAGCCTGGAATGGGCATCCCCCGCCTTTCCAGAATTGCTGGCCGTAACCACACACACACACACACACACAAACACAAACAGTCGGGAGGCATATAATCAAATGTGTCATCGCCCCATTCTTCATGACAGTTCGGGGGACAAGATAGGTAGGTGGACATAATACTTTCCTAAATTAACAAAATCCATTCAATACAACATACAATTTGTTGCTTATGAATTGATTTATACACATACTTGCTGTCTCGTCCTCCCTGACCGTTGCCTCGTATGTCTCTGCGCTGAATGTGGGGCTAGCGTCATCCACGTCCGTCACGCTCACAGTCAGGGTGGTCGTACCCGTCAGAGCAGGGCTGCCGTCATCGATAGCGGACAGTTCCAGGAAGTATACCTTTGATAGGGAAAAATATTTGGTTTCACAACATATTGTCTAATGGGGCGTACAAAAGGCGAGGTGAGCTCAATGCCCATACAAAAAGAAGTACTTAAAGAGACCAAAATCTATGATATACTGTTCATAAAATGCAGCCATTAGACAGATAATGAGACGGTCACATTAGTCATAGGCTTTCGTGTGGTTTTGTTGTAGTAGGATTTTCAAGCAGACTGAGACAGGACCAACCACCAAAAAGGATCTTAGACAGCATTTTCTATAATTTAAGTTTAATTTGGAATGACACATGCACGACTGACCCCAGGATGTTCTCAGTTTTTAATCTTGCGCCAATCGTACGCATAGACGTCTGGCAAATTGAGTTTACAATAAGATTAACTTGATTGAATTTATGCTACCGGGACCTGAGAAGAGAAGTGTGTGTAAAACAGTTTGCTTAACGTACCGGTGTGGTCTCGAAGTCCAGAGGCTGAGCCAGTACGATCCTGCCTGTGTCGGGGTTCATGGTGAAGGTACGCGGTGTGGAGGTGTCTCCTCCCGTGATGGCGTACACTATGTCACCCTGGGATCCCTGGTCTCCATCAGTAGCCGCAACCTAAATACCAGCATAGAATATGTAAATAACACGGAATTATGTTTACTCAGTGCAGTAAAAACGCCCCAAGAAGACCGATAAAATCTGGTGTATGTGAACAGGTGGTCACTATAGACAGGATTCTTGTATAGCCTGTTTAAATGGGAAAATTGGCACAGAAGCATAGATGTGAGAGTATCTGCCTCCTGCCCCCTTCGAAAATAATATTACTTCAGTTACCTTCCTCAGAGTAAGGGAGACGGATGGATAGGTATAGATATGGAAAGCACGTATTGTTCATAGAGTCATCCTTACACCAGATGTGACCGTAGTCGCCACCGCTGTGTCCTCTGACAGTGTAACAGTGTCGCTGGCCGGCATAGTGGTGAAGTTTGCGGTAAACTCGTTCTGACCAGTGATGGTGACGTAGATGGTAGCAGTACTGGTGAGACGGTCGGCGGCCACAGCGGCCTGGTCCACGGCCGTTACCTTCAGCGTGTACCTGAAGTTTTGTTCAATGAGAAAGAAGAATGATTTTATTAGTAGCAAGCGAACGTAATTGTCAGACTCTTTGTATATATGTTTTATTGATTATGTGTATAGCCATTGTATGTATCTATTTCCCGGCCTAGCCTTTCATAAGAGCTACATGTACGCTAATGGGACATCCCTGGTTGTGTTTGCCAAACCAATAAATAATCATAGATAAATGATAAATAAATAATTGATACCTGAAGTTTGCCGAGATGATGGCAGCGGCTTCCATGTCTATGGCGATGGCGACCGTGATCAGCCCCGTACTTGTATCTGCATAGATGCCCAAAATACCTTTCAATCAGTCTACAGGTGACATATTAACAATGCCATTTACACAACTCATCACCTCAAAGTAAAGATGTCTATACAAAATGTAGAACAGCATGCACAATTTTGACGCATGTATCATTTTCCTTATGAACTTCCATAAAAGGCACTTGCAGGCTTAGGATCAGGCACGGTTCAGTATAGTCTACGCGTATCCAAGATTGAAGATTTGCCCCAGGCCCTATTCTGGATACAGGTGGACTATCCAGAACCATATCTGAGCATTGTTACGGATACAGCAATACTCTTCTCCCTGATAATGGATGTAGCCCAACCTTAGTAGAGACTCACCCAGCCCGAACAGGCCGTCCGTGTTGCCGGAGTCTATGGCGTACACGAGGTCCCCGTCTGTGCCTGTGTCAGCGTCCGTACAGGTCAGCTGGAGCACAGAGGTGGTCGTGGCGGTGTTCTCTGTGACGTCTCTGGATTAAAAACAAAGAGGCATACAATTGACTTCGTCTAGAGACGAGATAACGAAAAATTACAAAACACTAACACTGAACTTGTTGATTGAAATAACCACCAGAAGACTACAATGGGAGCCAGATTAGCCAGATCCAGAGTTCCCATAATTTGGGCCCTGGGGGAAAATTGAAACAAGGACGTCCTGAAACAAGACAAATGAGTACTGTCACGGGTACTGTGTAGAGACCTAGGCTCATCTATGATATAGTGTGGTTCTTGGCTTTTACAAGCTTACCGGTCAGCCACTCCAAACAATACTTCCGTACCAGGAAGTGCTAACAACAATTCTATACTTACACAGCAGTAACAGTTTGAGAGAATATCACCCCAGTTCTGTCCTTGGAAGGGCATAATTTAATCACAGGCTCATGTCTCGAAGGGATGAAGATGATGATAAGAAAATTTAAAGTACAAAAAGAAAGCAGATGTTACTTACACATATGTCACGGTTTGAGATAATATCGGCGCGTTGTCGTTGACAGCGTCCACGTTGACCGTGACCGTCGCCTGAGTGGAGAGCCCTGACATGTCGTACGCCAAACACACAAACTCAACAGTCAGGCACCCAAAACAATACTCCCATACCAAGAAGTACTAACATTGCCGTTACTTACACAGAGGTCACAGTTTGGGAGAATATCGGTGCGTTGTCGTTGACGGCGTCCACGTTGACGGTGACCGTGGCCTGTGCAGAGAGACCTGACGTGTCGTATGCCGTGAGGGTTAGGGTGTAGGAGGCCGGGGAGCCGACGGCGTCCCGGTCCAGCTCGGTTCCGGTCGTAATGACGCCCGAGCTGTCCACCTGGAAGTACCCGTTTCCTCCTATCAGGACAAAAACAAGAAATGCAGGTCTTTAAGCCTCCATTACACATAGCCAACATCACGCATAGCCCATTATGGCCTCCCGACATTCTCCAGACCATGGTTGGGAGTTAGGCACCTGTCGCACTTACCAGACCATCACCTCCCAACCTCCTAGAGCATTGTAGGGAGCTAGTGGTAAACAAGACTGGTCGCCTGTGCCATCCATCTATACATATTGAAGCATTACATTCTGGAAAGTCATATTCTGCGATCAGAGGATAAAACTGGACGAAGAATAGGATAAACTTCAGGCCACAGCCGACTCACCAACCGGTACCAACCAGCCCACCCCAGGATACAGATTACAGATCATCTCTATAGATAATAAATGTATCCAAAATTACTAGTAAATGGTTCTCACAGGGCCAGAACCAGGAGAGAGTGGAGGAGGCTGATACTGGATGCCACCATAGTCCCCGACCCTCAGACAGGAGGATGGGACTAGGTAAATGTATCTGTATCTGTATAGCCGTTATAAACGCCCTTCGGCGTAACACACCAGCTTTGCGGGCACGCGGCGAGGTGGCAGCTGGGTATATTACACCGATAGACTTGTTACACCTAACCAGGTAAAGGTGCAATAATGATAATGATAAATGTAATGAGACCAACCTGTAATGTAGTACTGTACAACATCGCCCACATCAGCGTCCGTAGCCGCGATGGTGGTGACGGTCGTCCCCAAACTCTCTCCCTCATTCACATTCACGTTGTAGGTGGTTGGACTAAAAACCGGTGGACTGTCGTCATAGAAAGCCACGTTGACTGTGAGCGTGCTTGTGGCTGTGTTGAAACTGGCGTCGACAGCCTCTATCTCTAATGTGTACAGGAAAGCCCCGGACTCGAGATTCGGGGTCGTCGTGGTCCTGATTTCGCCCGTACCTATTATTATAATAAAGGAACTTTATTTCGCTTTTTTCCCTAATGGGCCATGGTAATAGAAATACACCAAAAACACAGACACAATGATTGAATTAAAGTGAATACATAACAGTATAAGGACAAAACGAACGGACGAAATCTGAACAAAAGTTGCACTATGAATGATTAACATATGTTAGAATATAAATAACAGTTGTTGGTGATGACTATCATATACAACCATTATACCATGGTTAAATGGTATAATATAAATAACAATTGTTGGTGATTTCTATCATATACAACCATTATACCATGGTTAAATGGTATAATATAAATAACAATTGTTGGTGATTTCTATCATATATAACCATTATACCATGGTTAAATGGTAGAATATAAATAACAGTTGTTGGTGACTTCTATCATATAAAACCATTATATCATGGTTAAATGGTAGAATATATGTAACAATTGTTGGTGATTTCTATCATATGTAACCATTATACCATGGTAGAATATAAATAACAGTTGTTGGGGACTTCTATCATATATAACCATTATAGTGAAAATTATATCATTTATTTAAGAAAAGGAAATGAAGAAAATCAATTGAAATCAAATGAAACAAGAAAGGGTACAATTTCCTCACATTAAGTTAATCAAATATTCAAGATAATGCATTACAACATAAATAATCATAAATACCAGCCACTAGTTGGAACGCTGTCGTTACGGTGTTGAGGGCGTATGTCACTGCAACCCCCTCGGGATCCACGGCGTCTAGCGTGTACACCTAATAGAAGTAGTAGTAGACTGGTTAGCAAAAGATATACATGCCTCCTGGCAGCCTTATTGGATGGCTGAATTGTGAAGCTATTTACAGAGGCATCAGTCTTTAGAATGATTATACATTTACAGGCTATCATTTAGCATACAATGTCAAAATTTGTTGACGTCATCTAGTGACAAGCTTCACTGGGTCAGTCTCCTGAAGAAGACCAGAGTGACTGGTCGAAAGCTCTAGGTGAGAGAACTTTTTGTGTTGGACCAAAAGTTTTAACTCTAAACATGTAACTACCAACACGGATGAACTTTCATGATAGTAATGTTAAAATTTACTTATTCAACATAAAGATTATAAAAAAATTGCAATCAAAAGTGATTCACACCTTCTGGTTCCCCGCCATGTCTTCGCTCACGGTGACGCTGTTCGGCAAGTTCCTCCATTCCGGCGACTCGTCCAAGTCTACGAGGTTAATCGTGATCTCTCCAGTTGAGGACTTACTTCCGGATGTGCTTCCATCTTTGACGCGAATTTTCAAAGTGTACGCTGTGGCTCGCTCGTAGTCTAACTCAGGACTTGCCACGGTCTCTAGGACTAGGTCGTTTCCTGACTGGGTTAGCTGGAAGGGGTTGGAGTATCCGTCTTCTACGGGACTGTACGAGATGAGTGAGTACGTGAGTGTGTCGCCGTCAGGGTCGGTGCCCTGTAGGGTTGTAGTGCATGCCGTGTTACTGGTGGGGCAAACTGCGACCCCACCGGCCGAGTTTTCGTCCACTTCGTACGTCAGTGACGTATCCGAGAAAGATGGCGCCTCGTTGATGTCCCGAATGTTGACAGTGTAGGTCGCCGTGGCTGTGAGACGTCCAGCTCCTGTGCCGTCGCTTAGCTCGACTTGGAGAAGGTACTGCGTTTCTTGCTCGTAGTCGAGGTTAGGGCTTGAAACGACGCTCAGTGTTCCCGTAGACGGCCCAATCTCGAAGTTCGTTCCGAGAGCGCTTGGCGTTTGACTTGCGATAGACCACGTCAGAGTGTCCCCGGGCAAGTCTTCGTCCGTCCCCGTGAAGAAGATCAGATTCTTCCCGCCCGATTCGTCTTCGTCGATTGTGATGGACAGCGAAGACGCAAGGTTTGTGATAACTGGAGCTTCGTTCACGTCTATTATATTGATGTAGAACGTCCTCGGAGTGGAAATTGTTCCATCACTGACAGTCAGGGTAACTTCGTACTGGTTTGTACTGTAGGTAGACCACATGGTCTCGTAGTCTATGGCGGCGGTTGAGTCTGTGTTCAGATCGACATTGGTGTTGTCCACCTTGTCGAATGTAAACGGTAGGGTTGCTCCAGCCGGGCTCACTAAAGCGATGGTGTAGGTGATGTCTTGGGTGGTGGAGACAAGCGCGTTGTCGTCGTCGTACACGGTAAAGCTTTGTACAGTCACGCTGCCGGTCGTGTTCTCGTTCACGTCCACAGACGCCGAGCCGGGGAAGCTGGTGAAGTCTGGGGTCTCGTTGACATCCTAAAAAAATGTTGGACAATATTGCTTTAGATTGGATTATAAAGTTTGCTGTAATTCAGCAGATACATGTTTTATGTACAAAAGATATCATTATGGTTTGTAGCATATAGCATTTGGTTCCAAGGAACGTAGCTACTAATTCTACATACGTTACCGATTACTTTTGAAATAAAGTTGGATATTGTTTATGGTATGATAAAGTTATGGTTATTTTTAGATATACACAATGTTATCTTAATAGATAAAATTTTAGTATTTAGCGTTAGAGTGTAGTAAATGTTACTTGTTAGTGTTCTGTACATGGCATACATCTTACATGCCCGAGACCATATATGGTTACATGTGCCTTTAGTCCATATGGACAGGAAAATGCAATTAAAATACATATCATATCAATTTTAAAACGGTACCTGGACATTGATGGTTAAGGTTGCCGTAGCCGTGAAGGTATTCGCCCCTGTACCGTCATCCAGTGTGACATCGAGAACGTACTGTGTCTCCGCGCTCTCAAAGTTGATAACTGAAGCGGAGCTCGTGGAGATCACGCCTGTGGCAGCGTTGATGTCGAACTGACTCGATGGGCTCTGACTGGTTATCTTCCAAGTTAAGGTGTCACCCGGTTGGTCCTCGTCATTTCCGGTAAAGGTGAAGACTGCAGTATTTGCAGCTTGGTTCTCGTCTAGAGTCATAGTCAGCGACGATGCGGTGTTGTTAATAACCGGTGCTTCGTTAATGTCTTGTACGTAGATGGTCAAGCTCCGGTCTTCGCTAAGGTTTCCGGAACCGTCGTCAGTAACCGTCAGTGTCAAATCGTACTGGTTCACAGTCTCAAAGTCAATGTTCGGTGCCGCTACCGTCCGAATATCAGCCGTTGTGGCACTTGTCTTCACAAACTCGAAAGGAGCGGTGCCACCTGATGGGTTAGTGTCCATGGTAAATGTTAACGAGCCGCTTTCTTCATCTGAGACCGTGTATGTGAAGAGGACGGCAGAACCTGATTCGTTCTCGTCAACATCTAATGTGTCCGACGGGGGAAAGACTGTAAAGGTTGGCGCTTCGTTCAAATCATTCAGGTTCACTGTAAGCGAGGCAGAGGCTGTCAGGCTTGGGCTTGCACTATCGGCAACATGAACGACGAGTATGTACTGATTGTTGGTCTCGAAGTCCAAAACTGGACTAGAAACTGTAGACACCTGGCCGGTAGCGCCGTCAAGAACAAACTGTGTGTTTGGAGTCTGACTGTCGATGGTCCAGGTCATTGTGTCACCGGAATCTTCATCAGAAGCGACAAACTGGTACACGTTAGTGTTCGGGCTTGTATTTTCGTCAATGCTTTTGATTTCAGAACCGGCACTGGGATTTGTGATGACTGGTGGTTCGTTAACATTGGTGACCTGGACGTCTAGAGTCCCCGTGGCTGATAGCGCCGGTGTGCCTCCGTCTGTACAGGTAAATGTGATGGTGTGCAGCTGTTTGGTCTCGTAGTTCAAATCTGTGGAACTAGACAGGGTCACCTCTCCTGTACTGGCCACGTCGAAGAACCCCGAATTGCCGGTATCGGTGTGTGTGAGGACGGTGTCACCATTCGGACTCGTGGTGTCCTGGTCTGCACAGTTCACGTTAAAAACGGACGTCCCGACTGTGGAGTTTTCAGCTATCGTGACGACGCTGTTCAGGTTCAACGTTGGTGCCTCGTTTACGTCCTATATAAAACAATGGGTGAAAATTATAAGATGCTTTAGGTTATAGGGGGAGCTTTAATTTCAATGATACGGGTTATGTAAAAAAAGTAATTTGTTTTTCACCATGGACAAGACAAACTAAGCATTTACGATTGTGATTTCCAATTTTTAGCACGTAGATGACACACAGACTTCATTATTTTCCACAGGACAATAACTACTAACTGTACATACATTATGACTTGCTATTCATGTAATAGTGGATATTGCTTATGTCATGACATGATAAAACAGAATTCAAGAAAATTCAACAGTGCAGAATGAAGCTGGTTGGTCACTGTATTAGACACTCCGAAATACCTGCATTTAATGTTCTTTCTAGACCATTTACTACTACGTAGTGATACAAACCTGTACGATACCAACGAGGTACATGTACGATGGGCCATGAAACACAAATTGCTATGAATGGCTTTCTGGAAAAGTAAGGAATTAGAAACATTAGAATTAGAATAGTTACCTGTACGTTGACGTATATGGTAGGCTTAATTTTCTCGTTATAACGGTTTGTCGCTGTGACGGTGAGGGTGTGTGTTGTGTACGCCTCGTAGTCGAGGTTTCCGACTAGGGTAACGACTGCCTCTTTGTAATTAGAAGTTTGGGTAATAGTAAAGAGCCCGGAGTTCTGGTCATCTGGAGAGGTGAGAGCATCAGACGTTAAGAAGTTTCAAAGGTTAACAGTTTCTCTTTCAGTCTTGTATAATTTAACAATATACATTTAGTAATAATGTCAGCATACAGTCTTCTCTTTCATGTTAGCATTATGTTGTGATGAACGTATTAACAAAACCAGGATCACATATTGTGTCCAAAACACGAGATATCAAGAGTAAAAGTTCTGTTGCAGCATCATGGGAAGCATCCAGGAAGCCCAAAGTCAAATCATTTAGCTTATTGAGAAAACATACAAACGCTATCAAAATATGTAAAATCATTCTTTACTTGAAAGTAGAAAAAAGTTCCATGAAGCCCAGATCACATCGGTCAAGGCAGACAAATGATTTCGAGAAAAGTGTCAAAGTCAAGGTGGATGAAACTTGCCTGCTATGCTGAATGTAAAAGCGTTGTTGCTTGGGTCGTCATCGTCAACAGTCACAGTGTAGACAGTAAACCCGATAGCTTCGTTCTCGTTTATATCAAAGGAGGTGGATGGGTTGGGGTCTACATATACTGGCGTGCATCCTGGAAAAAGGAGTAAAGTCAATGTAAAGTATATGTCAAAATAACATTACAAATTGAGACAGAAGTTACACTCTTGAACTGTTGTGTTTAAATTAAGCACAGAACTCGTAATGAACTATGAAAATAGAACTTAAAGATAACATGTTTAGCTTCAAATGGGGATGGTCTAACTTAACTACTGCTCTACTATTTTTACTGAAACACATTCATATAACTGTCTCAGAAAATATTGCCCTGTGCCTTGTTGCATAATTTCACGTCGTGTCATTAAATGTCATTTCTAGACAAACATTGTAAAGAATGCTACTTTTCCTCCCAAAATAGGTTATGTGTGCCTGTCAGTTGGTATTCGCCATGACCCTACCGTCACACGTACATGTACAATAGAAAATCGCAGAAGCGTGTCTTTTGTGAGGCATGATGAACTTGTAAGAGAGGTCAGTAATTCGTGCGTGTAACCGGTGTTGCGTATTCTAACACGTCAGAAAAGAGTTAGTTGCAAATGTAGTCAAACACTGAACACAAATAAGGTGGGGTCGTGTGGCGTAGCGGCAGAGTGCTCGACTCGGAACCAAGAGGTCCCGGGTTCGAGTTCTGACATGCCACCGATCTTATGCCCTTGGGAAAGGCACTTAACACGACTTTTCCTCACTTCGCTCAGGTGAAAGTGAGTATTGTATTGTCCCCTGTGTTGGTGGCCGCATTAATATAAGTTGAAAAAAACTCGAGTGTGTCGTCACCACGTCTTGTGACTACATGTTGGAATATATAAAAAAAAAAGTACATTTTGTCATTCAAAAATTGCGTTAACTTTACGACTGCTCATTTGGAGCTTGCCTAATCCGGCGCTCTGTGTAAGTGCTGGCCTCGTCATAGTTTAACCACTGTTTTTTGCAAAACATGCTTCATTGAATCTTAACAAATATTTCAAAGTAGGGATTTGCTGATTAAACCGGTCCACAAAGGTTAACCAGATAATCAAAACGTTTTAACTACGGCAAATAGAAACATACAAAAGACTACAGTAAAGACAAGTACGTGTTCCGTGAATGAACCTATGAAATCACACTGTCATGGACTTAACCTTCTTACAACCTGATCAGCACGTACACTCCAATACCTGCTTATTTAGCTCTCAACTTTTAATGAGCAGGTGTTGCCTTTTTGTTGGAGAGAGTCTGTTTATTCACGAAATATTCCAACCGGACTACTGACCGCCTGGTCGTTAACCATTCCAATATTTGAAGTGAATTAAAACACATCATACAAATGTGAAGTTAAAGGAAGGAGACTGTTATTCTCATTTCCATACTCTTCGTTCCATTCTAGCTTACTTAAGCGAAGCTCATTTTTACCTGAGTGTAAACATGGGTGCCTTTTCCATGAATACAACATATGTGGCCTTCCAGTACCAAGGATTTGAACAAAGAACACTTCGATTCTAACAGCTCTTTGGTACCTTAATCGCTGATAGAAATCTTTTATCTTTATTAATCCAGGCCAGGACATTCCCTCATGAAACACACTGTGTAAACAGCAATAAAGCACATATGGTCCATTGAACCTCTTCAGTGGCCAATTTCATTATTACTAACTGGAAACGCAAATAACAAACAGGTATGCAGCAAGCATTCACCTATACAACCAAACAACAAACTGGAATGCATCAATTGCCCATTCATGTATATGGCCATTTATAGTTGATAATATTATACTTCTTTAAAATAGCTTTAACATGAAGGGGTTCACGTTAACCCCACCAATTGATAAGTGTTTTCATCTTAGCGGAGCAACTATAATAGATTTTTCAGGGGGAAAACTATGTAGTCTGACATGACATGCACCACGGAACTAGCCATGGAAATGATTAAAATAAGCTTCTATATCTATTTAATGTCTACTACCACGGAAATAGCCATGGAAATAATTAAGCCTCTATAGCTATGCCCAAAAAAAGGAGTACTCATTCAATGCCTACCTTCCATTACATTACATTAGGTTCGAAATGCACTAGTGATTGCAAGCTCTTAAATTCCTATTTAAGCTACAAGATTATATACTTCAAGGATTTTTTTTAACATTTCGAGAAATTAAAGACCTAATAGTATATATTTCAGATGAATGAATTGAAACACGATACACAACTGAAAGAAATGTCATTTGGTGCAAGATATCATACCGTTTACATCAGGAAAATATAATTGTTAATGTATGATTTCGTTACGCTTTAACACCTTATAGGTGAAATGAGGTATGATCTGACCTCTGTATGGTTGAAACTTTAGAAGCCATAGTATATAGTGGGAAATCAAAGTATAGTAATCAATTGTGGATAACAAAAACTCACAGCAAAATTGTTATGTTACTACCAAACCTATACATCTGTATACTTGTATAAAAATTCTTGTTTTAACATTATGTTCTCTATATATAGTCGAGGCTATTTTTGACACCGTGAACATACATATACAACCTGAGATCCCTTAGCTTCCTTTCCTGTTGCGGTAACATTGAAACAACAAATCTGAACAGACGGGGATTAGCGACTATATTTAGTGCAAAGTCGGAAAACGTAGTTAGTATAACGGTGGAAAAAAAAGGCGGACCACAAAAAGGGTCTCCACATTGTGAACCGTCGATTTAACCAAATTTTTCACGTTCAACTTCACACGAGTAACAGACGACAATAGAAAATCTTCTCATGTATCAAGCCAGGTTTCCCTTCCATGTTTTGAGGTTTTCCATTTACTGCTACTTATATGTATGGCTCATTCATTATTCGTCCAAAACGATATACCAACAAAGAGAATAATACCATACACAATTAGTAATTAGAGGTAATAAGAGGTCGTAAAAATAGGGGTTAGCATAATAGGGGCTACCACCTGGAAAAGATTATATTAAAGGCTTTATGCAGCCTTCTAGAACTGTACTAACGTGAAAGGAGATACCACACGCTGTATCTTACACAGTTGTCGAGTAATGAATTATCATTGCACTCGAAATATCTAAAATATATCATAATATATTCCAACTGGTTATCTATAGCTACATCTGTTAACAGGCGTAGTTAGTCATTATATTAAAGAAGCATCATGGCGGCCCTAACTCAAAATTAAAATGGTACATCAAGGTAAAAAAAACACAGAATAGGAAATTGTCTACAAAACTCTATCTGTCCTAGCGTTTTTCTATAACCCAGTTCTCCTAACTTTACAATAAGCTTTAGATAGCGTGAGTTAATATATTTCAAGTGATTATCTATTGCTACATCTCCTATCAGGCGTGGTTAGTCATTATATTTTAATGGAGCATCATGGCGGCCCTAACTCAAAATCAAAATGGTACACCAACCTAAAAAAAAAGACAGAAAATGAAAATGTCTACATTATTCTGTCTATTCCTGGGTTTGTCTCTACCTCAGTGCCTCCATCTTTACAGTAAGCTTTAGATAGTGCGAGTTAATGAGATTATCTACTAGATAATAGTCTGTGAAGACCACCAGCGCTAATACTATTCATGATGCTCCTTTAGTAAACACTTAAACCACATCCACTCACCTACATCTACCACCAGCGCACCAACACACCACACGAGTAGAACACAGCGTAAAAACTCCATCATTCCACCATGTTGAATACAACAATACCCAATAAAACTCAAGTTATAAACCACAGGATTTATCCTCAAATGGTTAAATGTCGTGTTACATGGGACGCCTTGTCGGCCATAGCTACTATTCCTCCATTATGGGCTTCGCCTACTCTGTCCCGGCACCTGTCACGCCAGCGACACTGACAAATGTCCGAGTCAATATTTATACAAGGCATGACAAACGTCCTGGGATAAAGGACTCTGCCTAATTGACAGACCCCTCCCTATAGAGGGATACAAACGCTCCTTCTAAATGTAGTTTTAGACTTTTCCAACGTTTCTAAAGTTTTTTCTTCTTTTCACATTGGAAGAAGTTTTGATAAGAATCGAGGACATTTTTTAGTATCTCTGATAAATGAAGTTGTTATCTTCTATCTGCGGCGGTTTGTATTTATTGTGTGCTGAGTTGACTTTTATCAACTTAATTGGAGACTTATTGAACCGCTGGCCTTTTATTCTGCATCTGGCGTATTTGTTTTCTCACATAATGGGCGATATTTGGGTAGAGACGCGGACTGGTACAAACACGCGGGGCAGCA